CATTGAATTATTATAACATTATTAACATTATTAAAACATTGAATTATTATAAGATATATTATATTCAAATTTTTTTCAAGAATTTTAGAAAATTTTTTTTAAAGTTCTCATAGAATTTTCAATTCTTCTTTGAATAATGGACTTTTGAACTGATAGAAATAGATAATTTGCAATGACAAAAAATTGATTGAGGAAACCTTTATCCTTTTCAAATGAAGGAAATATCTGGAAGAAAGATGAAGCGAACATTTGATTGAAATCCTGATGGTGAGGCAATTGATTTTGCTCATTTTCTTGAAATAAAATAAATGATATCAAATGATATAAAAAAACATTATAACTATCAATTTACAATATTTCATATTATTTTACAATTATTGAATATGATAATTTAAATTTATTTTATAAACTTTAAAATAATGATTTTAAAAAGTATAAATCAAGTCTTTATCTTATTTAAAGTTTCAAATTGTTTCAAATTAAAAACATTTATAAATTTTTTGAACTTAACAAAAACTTTTCATTAGGAGCAAAACCATGATGTGGTACTAAATTACCCAATAAAGATATTTTTCCATGAAATTCTTGGAAGCAAATATCCTGATGAACTGAAAAGAGATGTATAGTTATTTTTTGAGTTAAATTAAGCCACCAATTTCGATCAAGTATCCTTTTATCGACGAATTAGAATCAAGCCAATATCTTTATAGCAACTTACCGTGTCCTCGATCGTTATGAACCTAATCTTTATCGATGTTTCTTTTAAAATAGCCATAATCGAATGTCCAATAAAGATTATTCGAAGTATATATATTTATAGAAGAATCTCAACTTTTAAATCGCAGTCGACTTTTACAATAATGTGAAAAGCAAACAGAAAATGAAATTTACAAACTACAACAGCAGTTCAGTGAGATTATAAAGACCCAGACTAATTAACGTAGACATGATTTAAATTCTCGAATATGATATGGTATGTAATAATTCTTTTCAATTTGATAAATAAAGATTTCAGTTACAGAACAAGAAGTGGATCTAATTGTTTAATTATTAGGCAATATACAAAAATTTCTTTTCTCAGTTCATTTGAAAACTTGACTTAATAACGGAAAGCAGACAATTTCAAGTAAAAATTGAGTAATTATTAATTAGAAACAATAAATTATTATTAAATTATTAATAAAAATAAAAAAGTAAAAATAATATATAAATAGTTTTGCTTTCATACAGAAATCTTATACATCTAATAAGATATTCAAAATATATTATAAATTTTATTGCTATTAGATATAAATTTTAAACCAAAACTTTTATTGCTTTTAATATATTTCTTACATTCTATAATATATTATCTAGAAATAAAAGAGATAGAATATCTATTGGCCAAAAACTCAGATCAATTTTATGATTTCGTTTTTTAATAGAAACAGAGAAGCCAAGTGAATACTCAAGAATATTTGAAATTAGTTTTATTTTAACCTCTAAAAAAATCTTCAACATCTTTCTTTATCATAAAAATTCTACTTTCTCAATGATTATAAATTTATTTTTACTTTTCTTTATACTTTTATATTCTATACTATGATACACAAAACACATTCATCAAAAAAATAAACATGATTTCTCTAGTGTTATTATTACAAACTTATATTTCTGGAATTACTCTGAAAAATTATCCAGATAAAATAAAGAGAAAGGAGGCTAGAGAGATTTTTGCTAATTCATAACTTGTGATTGAGTGGAATAGAAGATTGTGGAATGTTGAAGAATATGATAACGATGACTAAGCGGCTTAACTCTTATTGATAGCAAATAGTCCGTATCATTACGATCCTGAAATCGATTCCGGAAAAAGACTCGTTCCACTTGGATTACATAAGAATTTCTATTCCAAATCATTGAGCAATGAAGCGTTAAAAATAATTCAAAATTCGTTCCTATATATTTTTCTCTTCGTTTGAAAAAAAATTTCATATATATGTATATATACATATCAATAATTGATAATAACTTTTAATTGGAAACATAATTTAAAGTAATTCACCTGAAATTTCTATTGTATCGAGATATAATAAATGGTAAATTTAAAATCTGCTTATTATACTTTACCAAATTGATTAATTGACTATCAGATAATTAACCTTATGTTTTTTGGTCAGATATTTAAAATATGCATACCATAGATAATCAATTACCAAGTTTGAAAGTTTTTTGCAACTCTCTTGAGAATAATTACATTACCAATTAAGTTTGAAATTTGATAATCGAATGTGAATTTATTATACAATTATTATTAATTAAAAAATAAAATCTGAAACTGTTTATTAATGTTGACTGTTGAAAAAAAACTATAACTAAAATAATTATTTAAATAATTAATTTACGTATGTAAAATATAAATCCAAACATAGATTTCTATAAAATATGAAAATAAATGAATCTTTGTAACTTGACTTCTTATTAATTGATCAAATTACAATTAATCAAATAATACAATAATTTTACACATTAATGAATTCGTACTCATGCGTTTGTTCGAGTGCAATAAAAGATACAATAAAACAATCGTCGATCCACGAAGTAAAATGTTCCGGTTTTATCGAAGCTATCTGCTTAATGGTCGATTAATAACCAATTAACATCGCATTTTCAAGTGAACCAGTCAGTTAACGATCAGGCAAGAACCATTATCGTGTTTCTTAGGTAAGACGAGGGCATCAAGAGGATATACTCCAGAAAAACGGCAGCGTCATTACGATGAACATTTGCAACCACTTACAGTGAGCCTGCGGGACATCGCCAACAACGGACAGTTTACTTCTATAGTACAGTTTGCGTGTCGTTATACAGTGAAATTGTTATGGATAAATTTTATCATTTTTCTGTTACAAGAGATCAAATTTGAACAATTTATAATAAAATCTGTAGATATAGAAATAGAATGAATGAATATTTAACATATAAGTGAATCACTTAAAGAAATATTTTTTATTTAAGAAATTAAAAGTTTACTTTTCAATAGGATAAAATTTTATAAATCTAATATTTTTACATCAGATTTCAAGAATTTAGTTTAAATTATTTCCATTTATTTCTAAAATCAAATATTAATTATATTATAACATATACTATAAAAATATTAGTTACGTTACATACAATGTTATATATACTATTGCATATAAAATCAAAATTTATGAAAATTTAATTAATTAAAGCAATACTACTAATTTTCACGTTATTAAACATTATAATCCCTCAAAAAAATTGTATCATCACTTAAAGAAAAGAGAGAATTGAATAGCGCTGAAATCAAAGAAAATCAAGTAATCTTCAATGTTTCGAGTAAACCACTTAAACCGCACTCAATTTTCCTCAACTAATGTCTCCGTGTTCCTTAAGAACGTTCACGCGAGACTATCGATGCGAGGCGATAGTGTTGCAGCAGATTGTGGCCTCGGGGTGCGGTTGTGGTCGCAGCACGCACAGGCCCTCGTGGAATGATGCCGGACCGACATGACTGGAGTGCGCGCGCGTACTCAAAAGGGGCCTCTTGGCGAGGCGTCGGGCCCTGACACGCCACACATATTAGAAACGAATATAAATATATCGAGAGACTCAGCAGGCATCGCGGCGCAATAGTGGGGATAGACGAACGCGTATTGGTGGCATGGAAGTTACACACAGTGCAGCGGCGTAACAACCTGAGTTCGAGAACGGGCCTTCGTTCTCCCTCCCTTGAGGCGGCTTTCTAGCAGCCGGCAGCCGCCCTTGCCCCGCACCTCTCCTGCTCCTAGCGGTCCCATAGCATGCTCAGTGTCCGCCCGGCCTCAGCACGCCCGAGTAGGAAGGACGAGAACGTCGCTTCTAGAAGCTTTTTAATGCGATCACTATACTATTGCCAATTAACCGCGTGGACCTTTAATCACCTTTTTTTCTCTCATACATTCGCAAGTTTTGTGTGTATTTCAGCCTGAAGATCAATTAAAATTAAGTGTATCCAACGAGAAGATTTTTGATAATTGTGTTTGACAGTTAATCGTTGTATTCCACTTTTGTGATACCATTTTGTAACAGGATTAAAATCATTGTTTTATGAGAAATTATTAGCAACTTTGGACCATATGGATCCAGTGATTGATTGGGTTAAAGATATTTGAGATTTCGATTTATCAGGCTGGTCTCGAAATAGACTGACACGTCGCGTGTCAAAGCTTGTGAAACAAATACGATCGACTAGAGAGGATGATCGCAGTGATCGGAAATTGACGGTTAAGAGAGATAACTATGTGAATCCCAAGCGACGAAGGAAGGAAAATCGATAGATCGATCCGAGAATCGGCGTGAAATGTTATCGTTCGCTCAATTCCCTTTGTACATTCGGCCACACTGCCGCGTATTAAAACGTTAATCTCCGGCTGTACTACCGGTTATACGTACTCTTACAGATTGCCTCTCCCTTACACTTCTTCGTCTCTCTTTCGATTCTGCACGTTCTATCCTCTCTCTCTTCGCTTCACTCCTCTCTGTTGCTCCTTCCTCGCTTCGTCTTTGTCTCTTCCCTTGCTCTCCACTAGCTACTACCTTTCTTTTCTCCTTCCTTCCTCGCAGTACTCGCTTTCTTTATCTCTCTGACTTGTCCTTGTCTTGGAGAGTCCTCTTGGTGTTCTTCAAGAGCGCGTGCCAACCGGAGAAACCAAAAAGATGATACCCCGTCACATGAATGCCAATGTTATCTTTGTCTTCCGTGAAACTGTAAAATTGTAATGGAATAAAACATAGAGAAATAAGGATATCTTTTGACCTCGATGGAGTATTGGGTTGATGATGACATGCACGGAATCACCGAGTTTCACCTTTTGGCTTTGACAGTTTTTAGATTCCGAACACGATCCTGTCAACTTTTAAGACAGAACGAAGAATGAAAGAAGATTTATCTTTTATTGACGAAAAGATCGATTGCATACTAATTGCGACATCATTAACACGGGAATACAAAATGTTTGATGTTAAAAGATGATATCTTGAACTAAAGATACAAAAAAATAAAAAAATTAAATCCAATTAATTAATTATAATCGAATTATGCAATGGACCATAGATAATGCCCTTTACAAATATATTATATCAATCAGATGATACGATTATATAGATCAACTTCTACCTCGTAAATAGAAAGTAATGTCGAGTTTAGCGAGAAGACGGAAGACCTCGGTTCTGGGATCGAAAAGATGGTGGCAGGGTGGCTGCTGGGCGACCAGGAGCCACCAGGAAGCTTATCTCCGTAAACTTTACGCCAGGAAGAACGATCAAGTTAACAAAATAGATGATGAATCCGCCATTCGAAGAGACCTATCTACCAATTGGACGTCTGGCGCTGTGTATGAGTTGCCCTCTACCGACGAACATTATCTAGATGCCTTTTTGAGAAATCGTGAAGATGGAAACGAGGAAGATGATGTGGTTGGAGTTGTCGTCGGTTGTCCAGCTTTGGCTGCGGCTAGAACTAGTCCCACGGAGAAGTGCGTGGAATACTTGAACAATGCTCATGACGTCGCGGCGTTTGAAAACGAACGCAGAATTACGGGAGAGCCAATGGTAGCCGATTGCGGTTCTGTGCATTCGGGTTACGATGTCGCTGTTTCTGCAGAGTGAGTTATTAATCTCGTTTAGAGGGAAAGTTTTTCGTTCGGTAACCTATTTGATAAGAATATTGCTTTTAGTAATGTTTTTGGCATTGTGGTTAAATTCTTTGAAAGAGTTGTAGAGAATGTGATTTGATGTTGGATATTTGAGATTTTGTTAAATCAATTGTGAAGGATTTAAAAGTTCAGGAAGAGAATTTTCTTGATGATACTTAATAAATAGTTTTAGAAGATTTATTGATTACTTGCATTGAGTATATTACTTCAAAGTTGTATGGTTATTAGCTTATAGCACTGCTCATAAATATTTACTGTAATCTATTTATATATATATACATTATATTTATAGATGTATAGTAACACTTCATAAATGTTTTGGAGATTTATCTTAAAGATTTCTTGATTTTTAATGATACTTAATAAATACTTCTGGATATTTATTGATGGTACATTACTTTAAAGTGTATGTTATGATTGTGAAATTATCTATTTATATCTACAAGTATAATACATTTCATAAACGTTTTAAACATCATAAATGTGTTAAAATATGTAAATTAATGAATTAGTGATTATAATATTTCTTATAGAATATATATAAACTTAAATTATTCGTTATTAAAATTTGTTACATTAAAATTAAATAATACTAATATAATACTAATGAAATATCAATATAATCTACATATTTACTATCATTTAATTTTAATATTATAATTATTATATTAGAAAGAAAGAAAAGTTTATTCCATTTGATCTTAAAATTGAACAGAATGGAAAAAATGAATTTTTAAAATAAAAAAACAAGTATATAATATTTGAATAATTATCTACCAAACAAAATTCACACTTTCTCATTGAAAATTGAGTTCCTTCATTCCATCATTTGTCCTTAAAATGAATTAGTTTTTAAATTAAAATTTTTATACAAGCTTGTTCAGATCTCGCTGTCTAGTAGTTATATGGGATTTCGATGGAAACAAATGTTTTGCCGCTGGTTACTGTATAATCAGGCTTACCACTCGCCGCCAATTCATCGTCTTTCATGCAAATAGGTTTTCTTGTCACGGTATCTCTCGCAATCTTTCTCTTTCTCTCGTATCATGCATCTTAATGATAAACTACCTCCTAAATTGTACACGCGTATTTTTCGACTTGAAAGTGAATTAACGCTTGTTCTTTTTTTTTTTTCTTTCTCTTCTTTCTTTTACGGATTAAATAAATTTTTTATCTATATGTGTATATATGTGCTCGTGTTTTTTTAATTGAATCAACATTATTTTATATTGGTCTGAAATTACTAGATGTTGGATTTAATTTTTGGTTGGAAAATAATATTTCAATTTTACTTACATTTATTTTTTTCTCTATTTTTTTAACTAAAATTAGAGGATTTTAATGTTTCATGTGTCTTATTTTTGATTACATTCAGTTCTCTTATTTTTCAGTTGAAATTAAAGGATATATTAATTTTATGCGATTATAAATTTTTTTTTTAACAAAATTGAAGATATATACATATAATCAAGATCTTTTCATTTCTTCGAATTGATGGGAAACGAATTTATCACTTCCTCTGGAAAAAGAATGTGTTCTTGGAACTTGTTGCTACATCAATATGCAACTCGTGCTTTACTATATAAGTTCGTTATTGCATGCTATATAAAAAAATTTTAATACTTTATATATTAGTTTAAAATCAATTAAAATTTTTCCAATATTCACATTCTTATTATTATTTTTTTCATGGTAATATACATGTCATTTTTAGTATAAATTCATCATTTAGTAAATTCATGTTTCAATTAAATGAATTAATTGATTGGATTTAATTGAAATTCTTTCCTAGATTCAGTTTGCACTTTTTTTATAAGCAAATCTATATATTATATATTATATTAATAAATTATACATTGTGCATATGTTAATTAATTTTATGAATTATACTAATGATCATAATTAATTATTTTATATTGGTTAATATTTTCTTAATTTTGATTTTCTGCGTTATCATCTTAAGATCAATGCAATATTTTTATTTTAGAACATTTTTATTAATCAGCCTTCATGTAAAAAAGTAATAATAATGCAAATTTTTAATATAATAACTTATATAATAATTAAATAATAACATCTATCATTATCAATCAATTATATAGTTTCATATGTATAAAATAAAATTATAAAATTAATATAATCTATTGTAAAATTAAATAAAATCTACTGTAATAAATTTAATACACTATAAAATATATATAATATATAATTACAATAAAATATTATAATAAAATATAAAAATTTGGAATTTTATATAAAAATAAATTAAATTTATTATAATTTTCATAATGATAAAGTTACCTTACTATAATAAATATAGATTTGGCAAATTTATTAGGAATAACTTGAGTAACACTAAAAAGTATACTGTTATCATGTTTTAATAATTATAACATTCTAATTATTATTCATTAACAATTATTACTCTCAAATTATTTCATAAAAATAATATAATTTTAAAAAAAATACACATTTAAATTTTTTAGATTTCAAATTAATTTTATAATTTCTAATCCATTACATGGATAAAAAATAAAGTATAAAAATTTAATTTTTTACAAGCTAAGAAACTTTTTGAGACTTTCGATTCGATCCAAAAATCAGACATCATCAACTTATTTTTAATTAAAGAAAAAAGGATCAATGATCTCGTTATTTCTAGACCGCTTCACTTTAATTCAGAATTCTGATTTCAGAAAGGTGTGCAGAAGCTGCAGGTGTCCCAGGGAGGAACATCAGCGGACTTCGACGGAGGCGGGTGGTCCCTCGGGACTCGGCCTCGGTCCTGGTCCGCCGATGGCCATGGCCATGGCTTTCCAAAGTGGGGCCGCCGGTTCTTCTCATCAGGAACCCTTCAAAAGTCCTGTGCAACCGGCTCCGCCGGGCCTCGCCCTTCAGGAGGCCCTGATGCATCATCAGAGGCATTCTCAGAGCGACGATGACAGCGGATGCGCCCTCGAAGAGTACACGTGGGTCCCGCCAGGTCTCAGGCCAGATCAAGTAAGAAAATAACTTATTTGACACGCTTAGAATACTGACATATTGATGTTCCTTTGATGTAATCGATTTTATCTTTTCGTTCTTCACTTTTAAAAACATACTTCGCTTATTTTTAATTTGAAATATCTTCATTTTTTTTTTCTTTTTTTTCTTTTTTCTAAATTAAATGAAGAAAGTTAAATTAATACTAGATTTGTGCATTGCTGTTCATGATTTTATTAGCTATGCTATATGTTAAAAATTTACTCATATATTGCAAATTGTATGTGCATAAATTAAAAAATAATATTATTATTAATATTAAAAAAAGAAACATATTTACAAAATGTTAGATAAGTATAAATTAAAACCAAATTTTTACTTCATCAAAATAGCCATTTTTGTTTTATTTCTTTAAACAAATTTTGGGCATTCTATCTATTCATTTTTTTTATCTAAAATAATTTTTAATTATCATTAAATCATTATCATGCAATAATGAATGATAAAATATAAACTTTTAAATGATAAATGATAAAATTATATAATTCTATTTCTAACATATCAAATTTAAATTTATGAGATTATTTGTTATATTTGTTAATTGATAATGTCAAATAATTATAAAATTAAATGCTTTTTCACTATACCACTATTCATATACTATATGAATTATAGATTCATTATTCTTCCCTGTTTTACCTCTACTTATATTTATTTTTTTATTGAATAAGAACATCAAAAAATGTTACCAGAATATAAGTCAAAGATGATTCGAGTTATATCGATTCCATAAGTGAAATAAAACATTATTACAGACTATTGTACTAATGTTTTGTTCAAGGGAGGAGACCATCACGTGTCTCGTGTAACTGTAAGCATTTCATTTCTGAATTATTCATGAATGATGAATATCGAGCATCATGATATATATCTAAATCTTTTAGTCTTTTTGACTAACCTCGTAAAACTTACTATGATTATTATTAATAAAATTTATAAAAAATGATTAAATTATTCTTATTTTTATTATTTTTTTTTCACAATTAATATCAAACATTTTATAGTTAAATTCTATTTATTCCATTTTTCCTTCTATTGTGATAAAAACACAGATTAAATATATTATAAATATAGATTAAATCTCATCATATAATGCATTTTCATATCACATAATCTAATCTAAGAGCTATATAGTAGTTTCAAACCTATATCAAAATATACATATATTTAAACACATATGTATACTAATAAATTATATATAAATTTTCATATATATTATTTTTATAAAAATTTGATATTATTTTTTTCATTTTTATATTGAAATTTGTTATTATATAATTGAAAATTAACATTATAGATATAGATATTAATAATAATTTTACATTGATATATTTATATTGATAGAATTTCCTAAAAGAACTTCAACCTAATTATTTTTATATTATTCTTATATTATTATTACTTAGTATTATATATTATGTAATAAAATATCTGATTTATTGCCAGTAATCCTCTCTCATTATACATAAATACTTTTTATCAAACAAATCTTCATCTCACAAAGAAAGATTATTACTAATGTAAAGATTCTTGTAATATATTTTATATTGCATAAATAATAATAAGAATTTTGTAATATATGATAAAAAAGCTGTAATATAAAAACAATTTATTTATAAAATTTTATTTCATAAAAAAGAAACTTATGAAACACATTATAATATCAAAGCTCAATATCTATCAAAAGTACTTCCTCTTCCAATTCTCTTTCTAAAATATATAATAATATCATTTCTACAATTTCTATAAATTTTCAAATCTATAATTTCTAAGAATTTAAAAAAAAAAAAGATTTAAATACTCACTTAGTATATCAAAAAAAAAGAATCCTCTTTATTCAGCTTTCAAATTTATCGCGCTTTCTCATCGAAAACACCATATCCCATGATCCCCCAGAAAATCTCCTAATACCTCACAGCATGTTGCTCTTAATTACCATTTTCTCGCGCCATGTGTCACAGGTACACCTGTACTTCAGTGCACTACCGGAAGACAAGATCCCGTACGCGGGCAGCGCCGGCGAGCGGGAACGGGTGAAGCAACTGCTGCAACAACTCCCACCGCACGACAACGAGGCACGGTACTGCAGCGGGCTGACCGAGGAGGAGAAGCGGGAGCTTAGGGTGTTCGCCGCACAGCGGAAACGTGAAGCGCTTGGGCGAGGACACGCGAGCCAGCTGGACAGGCCCCACGGCGCCGGATGCCGCGAATGTAGCAGGCCGATTGCGGCCGGCGAGATGGCAGTGGCTGCGAGCCGCGCCGGTCCATCCGCCCTCTGGCATCCGGCCTGCTTCGTCTGTTGCGTATGCAGGCAGCTGCTCGTCGACCTGATATACTTCTGGAAGGATGGCAAGCTGTACTGTGGCAGGCATCATGCGGAAACGTTGAAGCCGAGATGCTGTGCTTGTGACGAGATCATACTTGCCGACGAATGCACAGAGGCGGAGGGGAGGGCGTGGCATATGAGGCACTTCGCGTGCCTTGAGTGCGATCGGCAGGTAAAAAATTGTATGAGTACGAAAATTGAATATACCTGAAATTAGGAGTGTTAGGAGAAACTTTAGGTCAAATGGAACATTGATCAAATCGAATGATTTTGGATCATATCGGATTTCTTCTCATCAGTTATGAATCAATTGTCATGAATCTGAAAAGTTCATAAAGATATAAATATTTTTCAATTGGTTAATCAATTTATTTTCTTAGAAGCTTGTTAGCTATTTTATGAAATCAAATGTAGAGCTTTACAGAGGAACAGTCATATCATAATATCCAGTCAATGATTATTTTTTAAATCTAGTATTATTATTACTGTGAAATTAATAAAAAAATTATGAGAACAAAATTATTATTAGAAGAAATAGAGTAGTTTTTTTTTTTTTCCTTCATTTTTTGTAGTTAACCTGATTGAAAAGATAAAATGATAGTATAGACTAGATTAAGTTATTGGAATACATCAATTATTAGAATAGATCAACAGGTTAGGTTTTGTTGAATATTTCTTGTTGTTATTCAAAGTCAATTATTTAATTTTGTTTCATCCCTTTCAAATACAATTAAAAATGATGTTACTAACTGTCCATGAATATTAAGCGAGTAAAATTCATGAATTATGTATTGCATTTATAAGTAAAACGAATATTTGCATCTCAATATTGGTAGTTAAATATTGTTAACATATGTTCAAGATGCTCAAATTCATTTCTATTTTTTAAATCGTTCTTTAGCATTTCTATTAAAAATATAATTTAATAAGTAATAAAAGTAAATTGTTTCTCATTAAAATCTATGAAACTCAAAACGAGAACTTAAAAAGTACTACTAGATAGAAAATAGAAAAAATTGGATTCATAATTTATGACTTTTGATTAATGGAAATTATACTCTTCTTACTTATCATGATGATTAATCAAAACTCCCTGTCGACTTAAACAGATACGCTTACTTCTACTAATTTCTCACTATCAGATTAAATCATATGCTAGTATATACTGTAACTTTATCACTTGAAATGCAAACAAGAATCTATATCTATATCACAAGTATTTTATTAAATATATTTAAATAAAAAAGTTTGAAAAAAAAAACAGATACTATATACTTATCTAGTAGTCTTGAATGATACAGAGGGCAAAAATTCCATTTGTTGGTACTTTTTGAGGCCATAACAATTATTTACATCAGAGTAGATACCCTCCGAGAGTTATTTGGGATGGAATGGCGGGACGATTTAACTGTCAGCTTCAGAACTGCCCCCTTTATATTCCCTTGATACCCGTCCAGGACATGCGACACGATAATTCATTGAATCAAGGTGTCGATAAATGTCACGGTCGTACAGTTGACTACACGAAACTTCTTATCGGTCGATCTGATTCGATAATGAACAATGGAATTAGAATTATGAAACAAATTGTGTGTTGCCATTTTTCTACTCTGGAAATCTCCAGTATAATGTGCATACTCGTAACGATGTAGCAGACTTCGAAATGGATTAATAAGAGGAATGGAATTTGATAATAAAAGCATGTTTTTTTTATTTCATGAATTTAAGTGATTAATGAAGAGAATGATGATTAAAATGAATAATTGTAATTTAATAAATAGATTTTTTTCTATTATTGATTTTTAATATTTTATCAATTAATATTGATGATTATATATCTATATATCTCTATATAATATTGATAGATTCAATTTATTTTGTATATTATTCAATTTTGTATATTGAATAATAATTATATAATTAAATCAAAATTTTTGCATTGGTTAAAATTATTATAAAATGAAGTAAAATTATCTTGAAGTAAAGTTTATTTTATTTTTCTCTAGTATTTATTCTAAAAAATTTTAAATAATTAAATAATAATATAATTTTAAATAATTTTAGTTAAAAAAACGGATCTATTATAAATAGGATAAATATTTTTAATTGTGACCATCAATATTAATAATGACTTAAAAATACTTTCATGCACATACATGTATTGTTCAAAATCAAGAATTTGGAGGAAATGTCTCAAGTATAATTAATTATTATGTAATAATAGGCGTATTTTTTAATAATTCATTAAATAATTTCAGCTTGGGGGTCAAAGGTACGTGATGAGAGAAGGCAGACCTTACTGTCTCCGATGTTTTGATGCCTCCTTCGCCGAGTATTGCGACAGTTGTGGCGAACCAATTGGTGTCGATCAAGGCCAAATGTCACACGAGGGTCAACATTGGCACGCAACCGAGGCTTGCTTTTGTTGCGCCACTTGTCGCACATCCCTTCTTGGACGACCATTTCTTCCACGGAGAGGTGCCATTTATTGCAGTATTGCCTGTAGCAAGGGGGAACTACCAACGACGCCAAGTGACTCTTCTGCTGGACCACCACCACCACCACCTTCCTTCCTTAGGTAGCCATTCTTCTTTTATATAATTGAGAATGAAGAATTTTTTAAAAAGTGCAATTAGAAAGCTTAAATTAAGTTTAATTTCATTAAGTCATCATATTTAATTGTTGGTTGAGAATTTTTATTATTATAAAATGTTTTATATATAATGTATTATTATTATATATATTATACTAGTTTCACTTAATTATCTGCTTTTCAATTTTTCTGTCTTTTTATTGAAAATCTTATTCTGATTGAAAGCAAAGAGTCATTGTTTAGATTCATTTTAATGATCTTTAAATAATTTTGATTAAGAATTTACTTTATTATTATTCAATTTATAGAACTGGCCGGAGACCACCACCTCCAAGCGAAGGTTCCTCAAGTCCACCACCCCCACCGCCACCTCCACCACCACCTGGATCCAGACATACACTCTGTTCACCACGTAGTTCACCTCGGATGAATAGAAAACATCATCAGACATCTGCTTCTCTAGCGACAACACCTACGCAAAGCACTTTAAGCCCTGAATTTCCGGTTGAAACGTTTCCTTCGAGCAGTTCCAGATCAAATGGTCTTGATCGTGTATTACTCGAGAGGAATCTCGAAAGACTTCTTCAGGAACGTAGTTCTCATCCAGAAGAAAATCGTAATGAATTGGGAAGGTAAATTATTTGTCAATAAATTAGTTTTTTCGACAAATTAAAACAAAGATTTAAAATTAAATTAAAATTTCTTAAATATATTCCTTTAAAATATATTCCTATGTAGAATAATGCATAGCAGTAATTTAAGATCAGTTAATATCAATCATAGAATATAAGATTTTTAATTATAGAAATGATTATTTTTATTAGTGAAATCACAAGAATATTATGAAAATTTTTATATAAAAAAAGTTAAAATTATACAAATTAAATTTTTTTTTAATTAATTATAGTTAAATGTCAGTAAAAAAATTCAATATATTAAATTCAATGTATAATGGATATTCTCTTAAATGAAATGCCAATTACAGTCTGATAATCTGCAATTTGTAAAGACATTATTTTTTATACATTTTTAAAATTCAACTAATAAATTATACTATTGAAATGTATGGTAAATTGTCTTCTTCAAATGTTTCTTTAAATTATGCATCTCATACAAACCATCCATCATGTATCATTCTCACAAATACAATGCAAATTATACATAACAAACTAATTTATCAAACTAATCAACTCTATTTATAATTACAATATAATTACCGCAATACTGTTTACAAAACAAAATCAAACAATCATATAAATTAACCATTACAAATCTTTTTTTCATAGGTTAATGCAAGCGAGAGATCGTGAGCCATTAAGATGCATTCAGAATTGCGCTCCTTCCCACGCGTCAAGCATGCCAGAGCTACCACCACCTCCCCGACCATCATCTGGAGCATCAGCATCGGCATCAACGTCTACATCGACCGGTGTTGTCGCGACCACGATATCCGGGGTTGTGCTAGAATCGGCGACGTCGCCTACGACCCTCATTGTCGGTCAAACCGACCCTCCGACACCAACATCGCGGCGCGTGCGGTTTCAGGGCGATTTAGACATGAACGATCACGCAGCGGGTTCCTCCCGTATCCCCCTGTCACCTGATAATGATAGGAATTCATCATCTTCGCCCTCTCCTCCGCTTACATCGCTATCGAGAACAAACGTGTCTCGATCGAGAAGCTTACAATCGGAGGAAGTAGCTGACACATCCGCTTGGGGTGTGTAAATTTGCTTTGTGTGTGTTTTGCATAACACAATAAAATTCTAAAGAAGAATCAATTTTATATTGAGATAAAAAATGTTAAATCTTTTAAAATGTTTATCTTGACTGTAATATAGTGAAATTTTTAAGATTGATAAATCAATTGAAAAAAAATTCTTGTAGTTTTTTAAATAGTTTTTTAACTTTTATTCTATTGTATAGTACAAGAATTATATATTTATTACGTCATTTATTTTTAATACATATAATTGTTATGCATATTTATTGTATATGTTGTTACTATTGAAATTGATATAAGTTTACTGTTATATATTATTTTATCTATTAAGCATGATTTTTTTTACTGTTTAATTAATTCATTAAACTGTATATAATTATAGTATTTATAATTATCTTACTCAATATGTTAGAATTGATTCTTTTATTATATATATTATATTTACAATAAGATATTGGTAGGTATTAATGAATAGGTTTTTAAAATGTATAATTATTACATTTTTTGTGATTATTATATTTATTGTAATTCTATGATTTATTCCAGGTATTGCTGGAAATTCAAAATCGAGGATAGACGGCGATGAAGAAGACATTGAATCCTGTTGTTCCACCTGTAGCTCGTCAAGTAGTTCTGACGAAGCTGCAGCTTATGCTTTACCTCCAAGAAGAGCATATGGCGGTGTTAGAATCTCTTACGTGCCCAATGATGCAGTGGCATGTGCAAGGAAACGTACACCAACATCCTCGACGTCGAATCAAACGCAGAGAGATACAGATAAATGCATCGTGTCCTGATGATATCCTCGAGAGTGTAGAATTGTTTTTATATCAATGTATTGTCTCGAGGGAAATTTTTGTTTCGCAATTATGTGACGTGAGGAATAGGTTTGTGCAAATCTCGAATCGATGAACAAAGCGAAACATGGACGAACACAAATAAAAACAAGAGTTCCTAAAATCGATGTAAAACCGAGGTTTGCGAAATTTTCCATAGTCGAGACTCGACTTTGAGTGCAAACTAAATTCCAGAGAGGATTTTTAATATATTCCTCGTGTACATAGTAAAACGTGTAAAACGTACTTCCGATACGATCACTCGTGAATACCAAACAATCGCGAAGATCGCGCTTCTCCTTCTATTTTTATTACCATTGAATGTATTTTATAATTACGATGACGATAATATTATATTTTATTACCATTGCCATTCCCAATAAATAACATTTTTAACAAGTGCCGTGTTCTTCTACGAGATTCGATTGTTCTGTAACTTTTTCAGACAACGATCTGTAATAAGAGCATTGGTCACAAAGACTCTACTCCACATGAAGCAATTACAAGTATTTAACCGTGATGCAATTGCATGACGTTATGCTATAAGTACAAATGAAGCGTTCGGATCGAGATGTAGACAATCTGAAAAGTATTCGCAAAATAAATTGAAACGAAGTCTATGGAAGTGATATTGATATTAATCACCTTCTTTTCTTCCATATATTTTTATATAAACTATTAATATATGTATATATATTATTATATGTAATTATTATATATTAATATATGTATATATATATATTATTATATGTAATTATTATATATTAATATATGTATATATATATATATTATTATATGTAATTATTATATATTAATATATGTATATATTCTAAATAGATTATGTGATCAAAAAAGGGATTATTTTCTTGTTAATATTTTTAGGAATATTATATTATTCAAAAATCTTTAACATTACATCATAAAGTAGAAATCAAAGTAAAATCATTTTCTTATAATTTTCTTATCAAATTTATAGATTTATTTCAAAATTAATTTTCTTAAATTTTATCCTATGTCACTAATCTATTAAAAAAACAATCAACTAAATTATTTCAATATTTTTCTGCATGAAAATTCGCTTTTTTATTTAAATCTAAGGTAAGATCAATTATAAAATAATGTTTGGAAAGTAAAAATCTTGCTCAACAATCATTCTATAAAATATGCGTAATCTATAATCGAAATTACGGATAGAAATTATATGGTGTACTATGGCAATGTCTGTCGTCTGATTAGAAAGAGGAGAAAAATGAAAACACACGGTCGAGCAGCGAAAAGAGCGAAAGTGGTTTCTCTCAGCATGAGATATCTGTTGTTATGCCACTATCTCGTCTACTTGTTATACTCATAAAATCTCTCTCTCTCTTTCTCTCCCCCTCTCTCCTTCTCTCTAACTTTCTCTTATTTCATGCGAGAGAGATCTCTGGTTTATGACTGACCGTCAGAAGAGCCAAAAGAATAAGCTACACCGATTTATTATCTATGAATGTTTCTAATCAAGGATCGTGCCATATTACGAAAGATAGAAATGCTATATTAGCGTATGGTATATATCTACAATTCATTCGGCATATTCAGCTTATCGAATATTTTAGACGAACGCATGTTTGAATGAAATTACATGATTATGTCATGATAATCCAAGAGAACATAGAATTATATAATTACTCTAGAAAACTCTCATGACCTGCAAAGAGGTTATGTAGTTTAAATGAATTCTGTGAAAATTGATTAATTTGAAATAATGTTGAAAGAGATGAAATTTTATGTTGTTTGATATCTGGAAAGAAAAGTAATAGAAGAAGAAGTTTAATTTTAATTTTGTAAATTAAAAAAATTATTTTAAGCTGTATATAATTTTGTCTTTTTTCTCACTTTTAATGATTTACTCCAACAAAATATGAAAAACTATAAAAATTTTGGAAAATATTTTTCTTTCTTTTTATGTATCATTAACATGCTTTAAAAAAGGTTAAAATAGTTAAAATAGTTTGAAATGAAATCTTGTCATAAATTGCACATTTGAAATAATTTTTATAGATTAATAATTATACAAATCAACATATAGATATTTTTCAAGAAACATTTTTCTTGTGTTCATCATATATTTCATTAATAACGTTAATGTCATTAAATATAAAAAATATAAGTTTGCATAATTATTACTCATTTAGAATGAAAATCAACTATTTAATTAAAATTATAAATAATTAATTTAAATATGATAAACTTTAAGAAAATTAATTAAATCCTAATGATCATATTTTTACATTTAATGTAATACTTAGTGCATAATATGGTAAGTAAATAAAGCATAAAAAAATTTTCATAAAAAAAATATATATAATATTAATTTATATAATATATTATACTTAAATTGGAATATATTATACTTAATCCATATTCATTAAATTATTTCTATATAAATTTCATTTTAAAGATTAATGTTATACATAAAATACAAACTAGATTATATAATTATAAATAATTCTTGGTACTTGCATATATTTAAAAGAGAATGTGTTCTTGTGTAGATATTCTTTTTCCAATTCTTTTCAAGCATTGTGTTGTATTATAGTCTTATATTGTTTCCATAGATTCATTTGCAATGTACTAGTTTCTTTCAACACATTCACCTGTGATTACAGTAACAGAGATTAATATAAAAAACAACCTTTAAAATTAATTCAGATGTTATGGTTTTTTGACTGATTCAATTATTTTATTAAATTGGAAATAACATTCATGCAATTTTGTATCTTTACTGGAAATTCAATTTTCACAAGTATATATGTTTATTTTTTGCTAATTCTTTTTTGCTCTTTAATGCTAATTCTTTTAAATTTTTATTTTTATAAGAATCTAATTTTTTATTCCATATAACAAATCTTTATTTTATTAATATTATTAATAGTTTCCATTTTTTCCATTTCATTCTGTTTGAAAATATCTTTATATGAATATATGATAAAAAACGATAAAAAAATGAATTTTACTATCAATTTTTTGAGATATCGAATGATTTTATATTAAATTCATTATATTTCACATAATAAAACTATTCTGATTACTGATAAAATCAAATGTTAAGAATCAATAAATCGGTGATTTTATTGTGTACACAAACGCATTTTATATTTAAAATAATATATAATAATATACAAGATAATAAAATAAATAATCAATTCTTCATACTGTCAAGAAACTTTTACTATAATAGCTTGCACACATCAAAATAAATCGATTAATTCATATATTCGAGAACTAAACGAAAATAGAGAAGTATGAAATGTTGCTTTCGATTATTATCGATTTGCTAAATTATCGAATAAATTAAAAAAGTACATAATAACTACATAAACTAATAATTTCTTTTATTAAGAAAACATTCATTATTGTTATTATTCTTCTATGTCTATACTTTTATACTTCTATTATTAAAATTCTTTGACATTTCCCAACAAATTCTGAAACTCTCTATTTATGTTTTATTTATATCCTACAGCATGGGAATAATAAACTTAAATGACTACATATAACTTCTCCATTTTGCTTATCTCTTAACCTAAACCTGCCAAAAAAGGCACAACAAATACATATACAAAATGTTTATAAGCCATGGAATGTAATAGGAAAGAATGGCTGGGAAGGAATGACAGACTTAGTAATCATAAATTTACCTATGCATATGCAATTCCATGCTTGCGATTCCATATATATTTAACACCTTTGTCGATGTCTAATGACACATTGACATGAAAATGTATTCTGTAGGCGGAATTGATATTTCTTGTGGATATTCTTTCTAACTTTCTTTAATACCACATTATACATTACCATAGTAATTTACATAATATTAAGAATTATCTATCTAATATTTTTATTTCAAATAAGATTTAAATTTATTTCAAATTAGATTGTGGGTTGTGGTGATTACAATTTTTTTTTATTTTATGAAAAAATATAAGAAAAAAAACACGATAATAAAATTGAAATATTGCATAAAAATTTCGAGGTTAAGTTTCGATGAAATTGTTATTAGAATCATAAGTTATAAGTTAAATCAAAATTATAGGTTATTTACAAATATTTAAAGTTCAGAAATTTTATTAATTAGGAATTTATATTCTTTTATTTTAAATAACTAAAAAAAATAATAACTAAGAAAAAAATTTATAAATATAAGCAAATAGAAATAGTAGCGAAAAAAATTTGAATTATTTTCGAATTGTGGCTTAATGTTTTGTTATAAATTATATTCAAATTAAATTCTATAAGATATCCACAATGAATTTTGACCGTTTCTTTTACTTTATCTTTTTTTTATTTTATCTTATTTAATTATTAAATCACTACTATAGAATTGAATGAAATCTTGATTTCCCGTTACAAGAAGTCTGATTAATGCGCGAGTTGTGCTAAACGGCACAGAAAGAGAACGCATTCTTATCTAGCTATCTCTATTCATAGCCATTCCACTAGATATTGACACGCTTTGTGAATACGCCCAAAAACGTTCCAGCGAGAATCACTAGTCAATATCGATGTCAAAAAATTCGATTAACCGCGAGAAACACATATACAAGAGTTCGCACTTCACGTCATTCGGTTGTGCTTGATATTAAATATAATTTTTGTAAAGAAATTTTTGTGGAATAAGTTGATTAGTGATCATTAGGTACGTGCAATCATGTAATATTCTACATATCAGACATTTTGTGATGTGATAATGTGAAGTATTTTTATTCTATTGAATAGTATTTTTGATGAAAATTTATGTTGAATATATAAAAAAATAGCGAGAAATTGTTATTCTGAAAATAAACTTGAAAATAATTTTCTTTTTTAATTAAGAATTATAATATTATATATTATAATTAGATTTTAGAATTATTTAAATTATCTTTCTATATAATGCATGAGAATATGAATTTACTATTGTAATTAGAAAATAGAAGAAAACATTCAAAAATGCAGTATAACTCAGTTCAATGCAACAATGATAAAGAATATTAAAAAAGATTGCTAAAAAAAATATAGAGATTGAACAAAAAAATTAAAATAAAGCGTGATTTAAGAAAATAAATTATATAAAAGAAAATAACAAAAAACATAATATCAATATTCAATAAATAAAATAATATAATATTAATAAAACTCAAGATTAAAATTAAAAAAAGAAGGATCTAATCTATTTTTTCATTAAGAGTAGAAGAAAACATAAGTTAAAAGAACAAAAAAAGAGAAATAATAGTACAATATAAAAGTGTTCGTTTTACAAAAATATGTCGAAAATTTCACTTGATTGTCAATGGTTGATTTCATTATAGCAAGAGCTATTGAATTGTATGAGTTAATCATACATGATGTAAGTAGGCCGACTTTTGCAAAAACAAACGATTTGCGCCACGGTACAATATACTATGTATAATTGGTCAGCATATTGCTAGTAACTCGTGAAATATTCCAACAAATCCGACATACATTCCAGTACGGATCTCGGTTACTTACGTTTCACCTTACTGTGGAATGCAGTCACCTTGTGGCAGGTGTACGTCCTCAAAGGTTTCAACTTCATACTTTCCCCAATTTGAATTCAAATGTATCTCTGTCGTGATAATAACTAACAAAATCTTATTAAATTAGTCATTTTGATTTTGATCTTCTTTCCTTGAATCGTAAAAAAGCTAAAATATTTGATTAATACTCATATTTTGATTAATATTTATATTTTAATTTAAAAATTGTTATTTCATTTCATTGTAGTAATACAATGAAATTCTTTGATTATTATATTTTTAAATTAAATAATTGAGAAATAACTCAAGATCAAAAAAAAGATTAATCTTTTCATAAGTAATTTTCTAAAATTATTTATTTTATTATTTGAAATTAATAATAATATTAAGAATACTTTCAATGTAATTATATTTTTTTATTTTTTTCCATCAAAAATATTTAAATTTAAAAAATATATTTATATTATCACGTCATATATTTATGAAGATAATCATAAAATGATTAAACTTTATTTATATTGATAGATAGCATATAATAAAAATTGATATGTAATATAACTTTCAATGTGAACAATAAATACTAGGAATAGTGACTTTGAATATTCTACATTATCTATATTTTATAGGTTATTTTATATTTTAATAGTATGTAAATATTAATCATTTTTCTTATATTATAATCAACAATGATAATAATAATAATAATAAAGATAAGAAGAATATAATATTAATATATAATATTCTAAATTCTAATCATTTAACAGAACATGGAAATAACAGCAGTTGTTCTAAATATTTCAGATGAATATTTGAATTTACAATATGTAACAAAATAAAATAGAGAAAAAAATCACATAAAATAATTTTGGATTAGATACACACGCATAAGAATCGAACTAACGGGTCCATGAAGCTCGTTTACGTGACCTCTGAGCGGTCATCCCGAAGTTAAATGCGCGAGAGGCTTTCTCCAAGGATTGGAATGCGGCCTCTCCCTCTGACCAGCTCTCTGATTCGCTTCAAGAACAAGCAAGGAGATACTTACATATGTCGGCCTCCAGATCTGTTTTTTACTGATTCCTTAATATATATATATATATTATAAAAAGATATGTGAAGTCATTATCAATATTTCAGGAACAAAAAATGTCAATTAACATTTTGTCTCTGATTTTTGCGTTAATCTATTAAGGGTATATTATATTTTTATAAAAATCAGTACTAGAAAATTTATAAAAAGAAGGAATTTTTATAATTCACTGAATATTTGAAATGTATATCTATATGTATAAAATATAATTTTGAGTAATAAATCATACATCCTTTAAAAATATTGTTGAAATAATAAATAAAATGGAATTTGATAATTTAAGATATAGAAATATTATTTTGCTGATGATTTAATTAATTTAAATATTTCAATAATTTAATCTGGAATTATTAATATTTGAATATTTTCTTGGTCTTTTAACTTTTAGATTAAATTCCTAAATTTTTAAATCTCTAAATTTTTTAAAATTTAAATTGTGAATGTCCAAATCATTTGACTTTAACTATTAGAATTTGAAATTCTTAGATTTTAAGTAGCTAAAATCTTAAATTTTATATTTTCTTTAAAATCTTGAATCTATGAATTCTATTTTTATTTAAATTTTAAACTTTAAATATTTCATATCATAAATTATTAATGTCTTTCATATTTCTCTATATTTTATTCTTCTTTTATGTTTTCATATTAAAAAAATTTGATTGTTAAGATTCTTGATAAAAATCTTGAAATTTTTAAATGCCTTTATGTAATATTATATAGTACAAAAAAATATATTTTTAGCCTTTGTATCTATATATCTAAGAATTTCCTCAATTGCAATTTCCCTAAAAGAATTTACAACTCTTCAAAATGTCGATATCGTTTGGTAACAAACTTTTACCAAGCACAGAATGTAAGACCTGTTTGCCAGTCTGCATGCAGCCTAAGGCGCGAATGAACACCACTCGATCGAGCTGTAGGCTACCGCGTGCCGGAGCTGCTCGCTTTCCATTCCGATCGAGAGGTTTTGCTCTTGCTACAAGTTAAAATGTACAGGCACAGGTATAAACACTAGCTAAGTCGTGCTTGTCGAGCACGCTTACTACGTGAGTAAAACCATCTGAATGGAAATTAATTTCCGTTTGATAGATACCCATGGATCAACGATATCGAAATACTGATTCCTATGAAGGTTAAATTACATAAATTTTTCGTAATCAGAAACATAAAGATTGTAGAATTTCGTGGTTGAAGTTGAGAAATATGTTTTCTTCTTTTTCTTTTTTTAAGCGAACTCACGTTTTTTATTTTATAATTTTCGCATTTGTTTTATAACACTCTTTATCCTGATAATGAATGAATAGATTACTCTTAAGATTTATATCATGTAGATAATCATGTTATGAGTGATATATTATATGTAATATCATTAATTTTTGTTAACAAGAATTAGAAAGCAGACAAATAAGTTTTAATAACTTGCTAGTTATGTTTTTAATTTGTGATAGCACTTAAAATTTTCAAATTTGAACATACAATATATTCAAAATTATTTTAAAGATATATTTATATTACATATGAAATATGAATATGAAATGAATTATAAATATCAATTAACAGAAATGAGAATTAGTTAGATATCAATTATATTGAATACTAGGCATACATATTTATTCAAATCAAATCTGATAAATAATAAAATATTAATTAAAGATTAAACTTATTTTGAATCATTTTCATTGTAAAAAATTTGAGACAAATCAATAAAGTACAATTCTCTTGTTATACAATAAGAGCAGTGACCATTTTTTAACTTTAAATTTGGAATAATTAATTGAGAAAGAGAGGAAGTCATACACAGGAAATTTGAAAAATTTCTCTTAACTAATAAATATAATAAATATACATGTAATATTAAATTTATTTATCGTTTATTATTTCTTAAAGCATAAAAAATTTTTCATATAAATTTCAAATGTTTCTTAAAAAATTTCATAAGATGATATAAATACATTACAATATTAAATAAACATTATTTTTATTCTTTGAAAAATATTATGATTACTATTAATTGATTTTAATTATAAAAATAACAAAATAAAAAAAAAATTAAAGATAAGATATTTTTAATAAAAATACATATCATATAATATTTTGTGTAATTTTTAACAATTAAAATTAAGATAAATAGAATTATTTTTTATCAAAACATTCAGAATTTATAATCATTTTAAATATGAGATGTCAAACTGCTATGAGGCACGACTGCGCGGTGAACGAGGTGAAGGAACATAGAGCAGGTATTCAGGCGAGCAAGCAAGCAGCTTTAAAAAAACAGGCAGTTGGTAATATGGCGGGGGACAAACGTAAGAGGCCGTGCGGGAGCGTAAAGTAAGTTTTCGCTCACGGCTGCTTTGCAATGCCAGGCAGTCGAGGTGAGTCGAGTCGAGTCGAGTAGAGCCGAGCCGAACCTCTTGGAATCAGTCTGAGACGTGGCCCCATCGCATCCTTTTCGTTTGTTACGGTATCCTTGTGCACAGCTACCACTTGTTGAAATCGAACGATCTTATCATGCATCGTCGTAATTAATAGCTCGATACATCGAAATGACTACGTTTTGAAATCACATATTTTAATTATATAGTGAAACATCGTGGTTCATCGATTGCGCGGAAACACGTTTTCTTTTGTTGTGTTTCACCACCAAAAGTGGAATCACTTGTATAATCTTGTTTTTTTCTTGGTTAATATCGTTCCAGAAGTGCTAGTTTAAAATCTATAATCTTGGTGCAATGATTTTGTGTAACACTGAAAGATCAACTGGAAGTTTAGCAGAAAATATTTAAAAGGTAAGAAGATAATATTTTTGAATCTTTTTTGACTTAATGAAATAATCGCGGTTCGTTTACCAAACTATTTTCGCAAAAATGTTTTACGTAAATCTTTGGATCTTTATACGGTATATTCAGTAAAGCTAACAGTGATTAAAGGAAGAGGTTATGGAATTTATTGATGTTCAAAGATGTATGATCGTTCAAAGAAGTTAAAAATGGAATATAATGGAAAATACTTCTTGACAATTATATAAGGTGAAAATTAAAACAATTCGAAGAGAATAAATTAATGTTATATGAAAGATGATCCCAAGACAATTCGATCGACTAGTAATGGTTGGTTTAAAAAGTTATCGATAACCGTTCGATTGATTCACTGCAAAGAATGTTTTGTTTTCTTCCCTTTTTTTTTTATCGATGCGCGCTTCCTGTATCATCCTATTTATATTCTCTGCGTATCCTCAGGTAATATCGCGGTATGGCGTAACAGCTCATTATACGTAGAATGTTGGTGAGAGGAAGTTTAATGGCATCAACGTCATTGGCGTTCCTCGCCTCTTCGTTTTTCTTAATTATCTTTGAAGAAATTGCATCTTTCACATCTGCATAATTCTGCATTGTAAGCTCATTCGTTCATCCTCCTACACTCTAATTATGCATATTCATCTTGTTCTAATCTCTTCGTTGATATTTATTATTATTATGTGTATTTTTTGATGGAATTTTAATATTCTTTTAAAATTCGATGAATTTTTTTTTCATTGCATTTCTTTCTTGAAATTTATTATTCCATTCTATCGTGCCACTTTTATCGTGCGTTGGATCGCGTAATAAGCTCCCAAGTGAAAACGCGATTAAACAGTGAGAACAAAACTGAATGAAATGAATGTCCGCTGAAATTGTGGTTTGTTTTCTACGACATATCAAAGAGAATAACGACATTGCCTATATATAATTCCATAGTTTCGCCTATTTGTATGATTGCACCGCAAATTTTCTTTCTTTGCTATTCAGAGAGAAATTTCTCAATGAGAACGATCAGTTAATAATACTTAGAAACATTATCATTTTCATAATTCAAGAAATAGTCCTCCTATACTCTATTGTTTCGCTTTATGTTGAAAACATAAGTTTGTTGAATATTCTTTTGATTTTTTTCGTTGTTTTTTTTTCTCTATTTATGTACTATACTGACAGAGATGATGATATTTATCTTGACATATTATTTTGAACAAATAATTGATGGTTTACTTACAAACAAATGTAAATTAATGTTAAAATATTTATATTATTTATAATTTTTTCACATTTTTTTAAATGCTTTTATTATCTTAGAAACAACGTAGTGAAATAGTAAGATCATGTAGAAACATAAAATGTAAACAGAAGAATTCGAGAAAGTTTAGCGCTGTGCAACTTATTAACTGCGTAGTTATCTAGTTAGGAAAGTACGATGTTTATTATGATTTTTAACAAAAATGTAATTCAAATTCTAAATTTGTAATTTCAAAATTTCCATATATATTTTAAAATTTGAAATATCATTATCTTTAATATTTAGTTTATATATTTATATTTGGTATAAATAAATACATATATTTAAATTTGTATAAACTTAAAAATACTGTTTTAATCGATATCCAAATATGATTATTGATTTTCAATTGATATCTTCTCTTTTGTTTCTTTTTCAAGTTTCGTGAAAATAAGAAAGCAATAGAAATGTTTTCTCAAGATTACATATGGAATCGACTGATGGCATTTAGAGGATAAATAACTAAACGAATAGCTTTATTGTTAAGAATAATTAGTATTTCAAGTTTAGTATTGAAATTTTTAATCAAGTCATGGAAATATTTTCCATAAAGACATTTTTCATATTTTATCTCTTTTCTTATTTTTAATTTATATGGTTTAATTTTTATTTTTTATTTGATTTTCTATACGAGTCCAAATTGACACAAAATGAATCTTTCATTAATATCAATTGAAATCATTCTATCGTTAATTAATTTTTCTTTCATTATGACAGCGATTATTTTTTTGGTAAATTGTCAGGTTAATATTCGATTTTATCGTTCAATGTTCAAAATGTCAAATATATTATTCAATATATACATATAATTATAATTAAATTATATAATATACATAGAATTATATAATATACATATTATATTAATATATAAAAATCTTTTGAAAAAAATATGAAAATATAAAATAAATATAAAATATGAAAATATAAAATATTTGAATATATTTTTACTAGCTATGCATATTGGCAATTAAAAAGATTACTAATAAGATTGTAAACATCATGTGATGATAAGTGAATAATAAATTCAAAAATTTTTCAGTAATGTATAGTTCATGCGCAAGTTGTGTGCATGAATGCGATTAGCATATCTCAAAGATCGCAGAAACTTTTAACTTTTTGGAATTACTTATAAACATTGAAATTCAGATATCGGATCTGAAATATAAAAAATGAAAATTGGATTCATCAATCAACGGGACCTATCCAATGCAATGTGATTTCGTAATGACTGTGAATTGTTTAAAAACAAGTCGAAGAACGTATTATGTTGGAAAGTGGCTTATAGTTCAAGATTCTGGAGAATGTCAAGTTTCTACAAGATGAGAAAAAATATTCTATACACAAGTAATTATTTATCTATATATATATATATATATATCTTTCCACTTTGAATCTCTTTCATCTTTTTTTTTTTACATCGTATTCTTTCCAATACTATCCAATATTCATCTGTGCGAATGAATTGTAGATAGAAGTTGCGTATTATATATCGATGAGGCTATACTGAGGTCATTCTGAGACCGCGTTGAGGCCATGTTGAGATTCCTCAGAAGGAGATCCGCTCCCAGGTGTTGCAATATGCGGTGCATAGAAATTGTTATCGCAATCATTCACGAATATATTAATTTTCATTGTTTACACGTGCTCAATAGTTTTATCTATTTCGTTATTTTGCATAACATTTGGTTGATGTTTCAACAATCTTTTTTTGTTATAATTAATGTATTAAGACATAAGACAATATAAAGAATTCAATTATTTAACTTTTAATATTATATTAATATTATTTTTTTTCGATGATAATTTAGTGGATAATTATATAAATTATTTTATCTAATTTTATTAGAATAATTTGTTACTCGAAGGGATATGTAATAAACGAAAAATTATTGTTAATTAATTAATTAAATTATTGTCAAATAATATTTGATTATAACAGTTTTTTTTTTACTTTCTATAAATTGAAAGTATTTGCGTACATATTATATCACTTTTATTTTTTTTTAATTGTTTCTTGCTTTTATTTTATAATTTAATTTTAATTAAATATATAATAATATAATAATAATATTAAAGGAAAATTATTTTAGTGTTAGTTATTTTAGTTTTGTGCATTTGTGCTCGATGGATCATTATAATTAATTTTTATCATTTATCTCGATGTTCACATTTCTCATCTCCCTTGTTGAGATTTTTCATAATTTGCTATTTACACTTCATATTTAATTCCTTGTGATTTTTAGTGATTCATTTATTTTGTTTTTGATGCTTTTATTATTTATCCTTGTTTACTCTATGTGAATTCTTTCCAAGTGGGAAAAAAGAGATAGAGTTATATATTATATATTATAAATTTGATTAAAAAATCATTTTTTTCTATTAATAGTTACATTTATAATTCTACAAATCACGATTTAAAAAAAAAGTCCTTTAAAAAATAAAGAAAATAACATATTCAATTGATTTTACAATTATTACAATTTAACTTAATTATATTTAATTTAATTGCAATTTATTGTTGATTTTTATTATTATACTATTCTAATTCAAGTTAACACATTCTTGCATGATGATGAATATATGAAAAATGAAATTCTACTTCGAAACCGATTAACAATCAAAATTTATGTTCTTTATTTATAGTAATTGATATATAAATTAGCAGATTTTTATATATTTATTATATATATATTTATATATTCTATAAAATTATTTGTTTTAATATTTTATTTACTTTGTTGAATTCCTGAATAAAGCATTTTGATATTGTAGATTTTCATTTATAGATTGGATTAAAAATAAAATTTCATCAAAAATTGTTAATTAAAAACATTAAGTTTGCCATGTTTAAAAGACACATATTCAAAATATATATTTTAATATCTTCTCAGATAGATTTGTGATCGATTTATCGTATAAAATCTTGTTTTATATATTCGTATAATAATTTATTCGATATTGATCAATTAAATTGCCGAAGAACGAGTTTGTATTCAAAAACTGGCTTCGGCTTCATACGTATGTAGTTGCACATGGTTGTTACCATAAGAGGATCTAACTTTCAACGTTGTCTAGCGTTGCAAAGAAAAACAATCGATAAAAAAATTCATTGGAATGTTCTTACTTATTGGTAAAAGTGAAACGTTACTTGTAAAGCGAGCTAAGAAATTTCTTTTTTTTTCTTTCTTCCAGATTATTGGCTTCTATGAAGGGAGAAATTAATTAATGAGAGGTGTCCATGCCGAGTGTTAAGAAAAATCAACTGGATGATCTTAGGAGCGCGAGAAGAAAATTCTCAGTGGTATCAGTTCTGTGGAATACAACGAAAGTTATTATACAGTCGAGGCTGCAAAAGTGACACGTTCGTGTTTGAAAATGTCATCAAGTACACGTACCATGATAATGTCAGGACTGATTTTATTGGTATTAGCAATAGTATCATTCAGGGAAGTGCAAGGACACGTTGCCTTGACTTTTCCACGAGCGAGGAAGTATGACTTGGATTTTTTGGACAATGCTAGAACACCTGGCCCATGCGGAATGCCTCGTGGTAAGTGTTTTATTAATTTTTATTTTAAATTTGCTAAGTATATTTATTTAAAAATGAATGATAAAAATTACAGGATACAATTTGTAAATAATAATCTAGAAAAAATAATATAATAGTATAAAGTTTGTTTTAGAGAAAAGAAACATGATACATCCTTGAATTTATAATAAACTTGAATTAATAAAATTTAAAATAATGTATTATATAAAGAAGTACAAATAATAATTATTGTTATAGGCATACAGAATATATTTTTTGTATAAGTTACTACTTTTTTTATTTTAAATAATTTTTAAATAAAAAATTTTTTAGCTAATTTTTTTTATATTTCATTTACTAATATAATATTATATTTCATTTATTAATATAATATTTTATTTATTAATGTTATTGATGTTAAATTTTTTATAATTGTCAGCATTCAAAGTATGTGATACTCAAATAATAATTGAATAATAATCATAATAATAGAACAATCTAGAAAAAATTCGTGATGAAACGTAAAAAAATTACATAAAAAAGCACTATTGCATTACCAACAGAAAAATTAAATAAACATTGTTGATTCCATTATATATACGTATAGTACACGATTTACAAACCGAAAACTGTATGTGAAATTTTCGTGGTCATAGTTATGGGGGATGAGTAGAAAGGGTGTTCTATGGGAAAACGACATTAACACGAAGATACGTCCCATTGGGAATAGTTCGCTAGTCTGATTCGAAGTAACTTTCACCGACTCGCATGAAGGAAACTCGAACCTTGGCTACTCAGCCATTACCTTCCATGCCTTGCCTCAACACTATACTTATATATTACATACCCTTTTTGCGAACTCTCATATTCATAAGAAATATATGAACTTTAGATATAGGCGTGCATCATCATTACTGTAATAAAATGACACTTTGTTTAATAAATATATATCGTAAAAAAATATATATTTGTAACTTGGGAAAATCACTATAGTTTTTTATATTTATGGAATTACAAATATAGAAAGTTGTTAATATTAATATTAATTATAATTAAAAAATAATTATAATAAAATTAATTTTAATTAAAATAATATTACACATATATAAAAAAATTTTGTGATAAATCATTTTGTAATTTAAATTAAATTATACAAGACTTTCAAATAAAAAAGGAAGTAAAAAAGAAAATAATTCTTTCAAATTTCAAAAAGAGTTTTTTTTAATTAAACTTTCTACAATTCGATTATCTTATATGATATGAATATTACAAAAAATATCGAATATTGAAAATATCGATTTTGATATATTATTCTGATATATTATTCTTAATAGAAAAGTTTGGTATAGGAAATAAAATTTATCTAAACATTTATTTTTGTCATTTCAAATTAAAAATATAATTTCGTATGTTAAAATGCTTATTAAGTTTTTTTATATTTTTTAAAATTGGAACTATATCATGTTTATATTTTTCTCATAATTTAATAAATACGCTGATTTGTTTTGTGTAAAAGCTTTCTTTTTTAAGAAGATGAAGGAAAAGATAGTACTCTGTAAAAAGCAGGATTGATTATGGAACGCGAGTTTGTCCATCCGCTTCCGGAAATTAATTGTACATTTCGATTATATGCGGTACTACTTTCGATTATTTCCGGAAATCCACTCTTGATAAGAATATAATATCAAGAATATAATATCATAAATCATTTTTCAGTTGAATTGAAAATGTGAAGAACATTTGATGAATTATATTAAAATGTTTTTCGTAATGTTTGAAATAATTGCTGACAGATATAATTATTGGTTTTCATTTATATTAAATTCTTTGTAATTTTTCTTTGATTTCTTGTGATAGATTTAATGAAAGAAATTATACCATAAGAATTTACATACCATTATGTTATGTGTATGTAAATTATTATTATTTTCATTATATTATTTTCATTATAATAAATATTAATATTTTTCATATTTGTAGCATCTAAATCTTGATGAACTTGAGAAATTACAAGTTTCCGTTTCTCGACATAATTCAATATGTTTTGAACAATGAAAATTATATAGAATAGAGTGCAGCATTGCATAATAGATTTTATTTTTTGTTGTAGGTGATATTAAAACTACTTTATTATCTGGGAGTAACTTCAACGTCACATGGCATCTAGCTTATCCTCATCGAGTGAGTTTCATTTTTTTTTTTGCATTTTAATTTATTTAATTAAATGTTATTGATACATAATTTTTATTTAATTAATTTTTTAATTAATTTTATATATTTTAAAACAATTTTAAATGATATTTGAATTTTATTGAATTTTATTAGTCACAAAAAAGAATAAGAGTCACGAAAAGAAAACTGTAAGACAGTTATTTAAAGCAAATAACTATTCGTAAATAATTTCTGTACATAGTTTTCTGTACATAATCAAATACGCGCTTAATATCTTAAGATGTATACTGCGCATGCGTTATAACGCATAAGAAATCTAAACACGTACGGTTGTTTAAAAAAGAAAGAAAAAAGAAATATATGAACAGTTACGTGAGAGTTAGATATATCGAATTTCATTATATTTCACATTATTCCAACTTTCTCCAATATAAAACTTTCTGTATTCATCTTTCAAGTGATTGTATTTCTTATAATTAATGATTTGCGTATCGTGACCAAAGAATTTGGCACACACGTAATCGATTTGTTAATTGTTTTTTATGTAATTAGAACATGATCATCAATTATATCTGCAATTAGCACTCAATAAAGTTTATAGTTATTTAATCAATATAGTTTTTAAATATAAAAATGTGATCATGACTTATTCTTGGAAATTACGTGGGAACAATTATGAAACATTTCATAACGATTTTTCTTATTGTATTTTGAAGATCCAAAAGCTATATGAGATATTGAAGGATTAATGATATCATCATAAATTACATGAAATAAATATATAAAATAATTCAATTCTAATATAATAGGACAAAAAAATTTTCAGCCAACCATTCAGATTTTTATCTTGTTATTCTTAATATAAAATCTTCTTATTTATCGTATAAATGTATCTTCTTATGTAGATAAACTTAAAACTCCAAAGATAAATTCATATGTCCAACTTTTCCAGACTTTGATTAAGAAAAATTACAGTAAATAAAAACACAGTAGCAGAAAAAGCTTAGGACATATAGTTCGTAAGCTGAAAGTAATGATCGAGTGGCGCAATTGGACATTCGTATTCTTTGCGATGCGTTTAACGAATGCCTAAGTCATCGTAAAAGACATCACGAATTTGTCCGCACGTGGTCTATATGAAAGGGAAAGAAGAGACTGGTTGAGGGCGGCCTATGCTTGCACGTCGTTGCTCAAGGTGATGTTTGTTGAATAATTCACAAGCGAAGCTGGGTATACGTTCAAAATGCTTCGTGTATACCTTTTGTAGATAGGTAGGTCGGAAAGGTAGTAAGAGATATAAGTTGCTTTGCATATGAACGCGGCGCGAGAGAGGAACTTATTTGAATCGAATTCATCGGTATGTCGGATACCGTAACTCGTAACTCGTAACTCGACTATCGTTAATGATTCGAATCAAAGCCAAAACTTTAAAATCCGTTACTGAAACGATTGAACTGTATACAGAAATAAATTGAACACTATTATAAGAAAAATATATAATATCAAAAAGTAATAAGAAATTTATAGAAAAAAATTTTATGTATTTCATATTTTTATTTGATTGTAAAAATTATATTAAGATATATTAAGAAACTTAAGATACTAATTTAAGATATTTTTTTGTATGAATTATATTTCAAATTCATACAATATACATGTACAAATTACAAATTCTTTTGTATGAATTAAAAAGGTGTTTTTATAAAAAATAACAAACATCTTTGATTCATTCGAATAAATACATATTTTAAACATTATATTTTAAAGAATATCTCAAAAATAATTAATATCGGTATATATTTTTGATATTAATTATTAAAATTCGAAGTGTAAAATAATATAAATAAAAAAATAAACAAATAATAATTTTACAAGTTCTTACTTTACAAGTTCAATATTTTAAATCATTATTAAATAATATTGATAAAATATTATCGATAAAGTTTTTAGGTTATGACGATCTAAGGAATGCGGTTAATAATTAGAAAACATGACACGTAGTAGAAAACGCAATGTTGCTCTTGAGCAAGGGTTAACTAGTAACGGTTCTTTACCTCAAATCTTTATACAGGTGTCAGATTGACATCAGTAATCATTAAATTAATGCTTATTTCATTATGTTGTTGTTTATTATTGATCTCGTATATGACATTTCTCTCTATTTCCAATTTGAAAAACATTTCATAAAGTAGTAATTTCATAACGGCAAATTGTAGCTATGTACAATCCTTTTTTTTTTAATCAATCTAATAATAAATTCAGATTTTATGTCATGAATCTATAATAAACTCGTTCAATATTTGCGCGTATTTGATGTTTAATTGATATCTTAATTGTTTTTTACTTCCAATGCAAGTAGCAAAAGAAATTCATTCATTGAAACTAAAATGATATTGTAATTTATTTAAATTTCCAAATGTAAAATAAATAAATTAAATTTAATGTTGTTGAATATACACATAATGTATAATATAAATTTTTTATTAAATTTTATCTACTTATTACAAAAAATTTTTATAATCAATTCTAAAATATCTAGTTTCGAATATATTTACTTATTAGATATTTAAAAAATTTATGATTTAATAATCACAATTATTGAATAATTATTTTTTACCTTTTTAGGGTGGATTTCGGCTGCAAATCTTGGATGCTCTCGATAGACCATTAATTGATTTAACTCCTGTGACGAAAAATAGTGAATTCGTTGAAGATGATGCTACGTGAGTGCAGATCTTTTTTTATATTTATATCTTTTTCTTCTTCTATTTCTTTTTAATTTTTATATTTAAAAATGAATCATTGATTTTTAGGGCACAGAATTATGCCGTGCAATTACCTCAAAATTTTACGTGTACAGATTGCACAATTCGGCTTCTTCGAGAAGCTGAGGAATGGGGTTCAAGTTACAGATTTTGGTCTTGTGCAGATATCGATGTAAGAATTCAATAAAAAAAATTAATGAAGAAATTATCGAAATATAAAATATATAATATAATTTTATATAAATATAAAATAATTTTTTCATTATAATGTATTCATTCTGAAATGTTAATTCGTTAGATCATTGATAGAAAGACATATAGAGAAGATTGCAGCGGTCATGGTCGATATCTATTAGGTAGATGTAGATGTGATCGGCTATATCACGGTATAAGGTGTGAATTTAAGGAGGAATGTCTGGACGATTCAGACTGCGGTATTCAGGGCACGTGCATTAACAATGGCGGCACAACCGCGCCCACCAAGCATTGCTACTGCAACATCGGTTGGTTCGGGCCGGGTTGTGCAAAAAGTAAGAGTTTTTTTAAAATGTTTTTTTTAAATTGTTTTAACAACAATTAAATACGTTAAAAAGCTATATATATATAATTATATATTTAGTTATATATATAAAGTTATATACAATTTTATATATATACATATAAGAATTAAAGTATTATACTTACTTATATTACTTATATTATATTTTTTAAATTATTTATATCATTTTATTAAAGAACAAAAAGATACGTTATTCAATCCTTAAAATCAGCAAAATAAACAAATTTATAAAATAAATAAAATAAATAAAAAAAATAACATTAATATCTTTATTATTATTAATAATAAATATTTTTTTAGGATCTCCAATTAAAACTATAGATGTAGAATTGGATATTTATACTATGAAAAAGTTTTCTGACAATTTTACTTTTTATTGGCGTATATTAAAAGAAAGCAAAGAACTCGAGGGCATTATGGTAGTAAATGGTACAAATTGGGTCGGTGTTGGATGGCGACCAAGTAATATAATGCCAATTTGTCGTTCTTTCCCTGATATTCAAGAACATCCAAAAGGTGAACCGCTTCCACGACCAGAACCAAAAGCAGAACCAGAACCAAAAACTGAACCCAAACCAGAATCTGAACCAGAACCTAAATCTAAACTTAAACCTAAATCTGAACCTGAATCTGAACCTGAACCTGAACCAGAACCTGAACCTGAACCAGAACCTGAACCAGAACCAGAACCTGAACCTGAACCTGAACCTGAACCTGAATCTGGAACTGAAAAATCTGGTACCAGAAGAAGATCAGCTAAAGTTCATGATATTGCTTCTTTGACTTCAACTCTTCAACCTGATACTGATGTCACAGTGCAAACCAGTGTGACATATCGTGTCAGTACAAAGCAAGGTGAACATTAAGTTAATTAGATTATATAAACATTTTCGTGACATTAAATAATATTCATGCGTCATATATAGGACGCAAGAAAAGATCACCAGAATCCACAGGAATTTCTGCAAACGGTATGTATTGATACTATTATAGATAGATCAAGATATTCTTGCTATTCATATGTTCATTGTAGTAATCTGTAGAATGCTTCCCGAAAAAAATAGTAGAATATTTGGTATCCCTTTTTTTATTTGAAACACTACGCACAAGGTGGTGGTCCGTAAACAATAAGCAGTAGTTAGTTGGCACGACGATCGATGCTTTCTTGCACAGGGGAACTCATCGCCGAGCCGAGCACTGTTGACAACACGAACATTACGTCTGAACCTATATCAGAACCAGAACCTAAATCCGAGCCTGAACCCAGCCCAGAATTAGAGCTGAAATTCAAACTGAAATCAACTTCAGTGCCTGAATCAACATTCCAACCAGAATTCAAGTCTGAATCAGAACCTAATTCTGAACCCGAACCTAAACCCGAATCAGAACCCAGCTCTGAACCCGAACCCAAATCCGAACCAGAATTGGAGCCGAAATCTGAACCAGAACCAAAATCCGAACCGGAACCTAGTTCCGAACCAGAGCCAAAGTCTGAACAGGAACCTAAGTCAGAACCGGAACCAAGTTCTGAACCGACTTCGGAACCAGAATCGATTTCGAGTCTCAAATCAAGCGCAACGAAAGGTAAAAACAAGCTAAGAGAGCAAGATAATTTAATCGCTTGTCTCTTTTTATATTGCATGAGCTTTATGTTTTATAAGTTGACGTTTAATTCATATTACAGAAAACTTTTTGATATCATATTGTTGTTGAAATTCAAGTTTAACTTAAAAATTTTTTCTTTTGATAATTTACAATTTGTGTTCTATTTAATATATAATGAAAATAATTAGATTAAGAAAGTTAAGCTATTTTGAATATTTCTGGATACATGTAAATTTTTCGTCAACTTAATTGACAAAAATTAGAAATGCTAAATAATAAACTATAGATAAAAAATATTTAATCAATAATAGTTTCTGTATTATAAATAAATAATTTAAGTTAATAACATTCACATATTCAGTAGCATTGATACTAATACATTATACATATAATCTAAATTATATATGAAATGATAATATCTATATTGATTTGTATTTATTTTATATAAGCTTTCATATAATATTACTTGGTACAACAAATATTTTTATAATACTTTAAAAAACTTAACTTAAAAAATTATAAAGTAAACCTTCACTAATGCTATATATTTTGTAATGCAAACTTAAAAATATTGCAATAGAAAACTTTTTTCATCATAATCATAAATTATCATTTATTATTTGATTATCATATGTACATTAAAAACTATTGAAATCTGTAAGTCATTTAATCTAATGTGATATTTCAATCAAAGCTATCCTACCTGAAACGCACAAGTATACGCCAAAACACGATTTCAACCCTATGGACTGCACAGACATTATAATAGGATCAGCACGAGGTAATAGTCACAGGATTGGTGACTATTATACTAGAGATAGATCTACACCAAGAAAAGACGAATATTGGGGTGGAAGAGATACATTGACTGCTGCAATGGGCTTTGAACGCAATGGCGTTACAACGATACTTTTTAGAAGAAAATTGGCAACAAATGAACCAACTGATTATGAAATTATTGATGGTAATATGCAAGTGATATGGGCTAAGGGACAAGAATCTGGAAAATATATTCATCATCCACCGAGTGGCATTGAAAAAGCCAAAATTAGTGTGAAAGACTTTTACAAGGCTGACGAACTTAAATATCATGGACATGGAGAACAAAGAGGAACAGTGACGCTTAATTTCTTTGGTAGGTGAATAAAAATAGATATTTATTTTTTAATTAATTAATTAATTTAAATTGTTGTCAATGAATTTGTCATAATTACTACTACATAGACTACATTTCATATTAATTAATGGTATTATTAATATTTTCAGATGAAAAGAAGAAACAAGAAATGATAAATGAAGATGGTGTACCAATGCCAATTTCAAATTGCAGCGGTGAGTGGCATTATCCGAGACATTGTTCATCTACAAATGGTACTTGTGAATACTCTATTCAATGGACATACAAAGGACGAAAGGTAATATTTTATATAGAAATAGATCTTATATATAAAGTGTCTCAAAAATGTTGGATTGTCCATAAACTGAAAATTCTTGAAATAATTTCAAAATTTTTTTTTGCAAAAACTTTTGTTACGACTTTGTTATTATAATAAAATATAATTATTAATAAAAAATACTGACCAATCATGAAGCGCGTAATTTACAATCTTGAATCACGGCAGTACATACTGCTAATCGAGAAAGTAAAAGAAAGTAAAATTGAATATAATAAATATTTTTTTATTAATAAAAAATTATATCGATTAACGAACAATGAATAAATAAATATAACATTTAACATATTTTCTTTGAGATATATTGCTTAACAAAGACAAAATGAAAATTCTTGCAAAGAAAATACTGCTCAAGAATCTCCAATTTATTCTAATATTCTATTCTAATATTTTTAAAACATGCTATATAATTAATTATTAAATATGTTTTCATAGGATCAATTATCATTTGTTATTTCCACAACTAATACAAATGTTTGGACTGGTGTTGGATTCTCTGATGATGATAAAATGGTATATATTAATCAAAATATAATTCAAATTTTAATTGACCATTTAATTTTAATAAATTTCCATTATATTCTGATAATATTTTTTCCATTTTATAATAAAAGTAAATTTTGCTTGTGAATTTCAATTATTTTTTAATCGATAGTTTTTTTTTTTATTAGTCACAAACAGATGCAATATTGGGTTGGGTTGACGAAAAATCGGGTCGAGCTTTTCTCATGGATACTTGGATCAGCGGATATAATGCTCCGTTGCTCGATCCATCTCAAGATATTTATAATACGGGCGGTAGTAAAGTGGATGGTGTAACGACACTCAAATTCTCAAGGAAACGAATAACAAAGGACAATAGAGATCTTTCTTTCACAGATGATCACTGCTTATATATGATGTACCCAGTCAAGGGTGGTATTTTCAATGCTGTCAGCAAGAAAATACGTAAACACGACGCTGTGCCTATTGTTTCCGCTGAAAGGATCTGCATAAAATCTTGTGGTCTTGAAGGTTCTTTTTTAATGCTATACTATAAATAGAATGTATATACAATCTTAGATATAACATTCTTGGAAAGTTTATTTTTGCATGTAAAATAATTCCAAATGAATTATTTTAATTAATTCAGTAAACTGAAATATCTTAAAGTTTTTAAAAATGAAAATAGAAAAGATATAAATTATAGTTATGTTATTAAAAACTTTTCGTTTTAACAGAATTTGAAGATCTTACGACACCAACACCTCCAAGATTATATTATGATGTGGAAGTGAAACTCATAAATTTGGGTGATGGTTTTACAGCGCCTATTCCGGGTAGTTCAGATTTTGAAATTATTTCAAATACGATATCTGATAGCTTTGGTCCAGTTTTTAACAAATTACCAGGCTATTATCAAATCCGTCTCGTTGAGTTACAGAAGTGCGTTATCAAGCAATATATATAGTTTAATCCTGAATATATAATTTAATGTTTTATTTATAACATCTAGGGATAATGAGCAAAATGGTGTTATTGCACGCATGGATCTGATCTTAGATAAAAATGAAATCAAAGGTAGATCATTGAAACCTATAGATACCAGCGCAGCTGCAGAAAAAGCATTAAAAGAAGCTCTCATTACTGGAAAAGTCGGTGCATTAAGTGTAGATCCACAATATTTGTTTATTAGAGCTCCTCGAGGTAAATGAAACTTTTTCATATTTTTAATTTTTAAAATATGAATATTTAGTTTTTCATTTCCAAGACTTTTAGCAATCGTTGACAAATTGCAATTAAAACTATATTTAAATAGCATCTAAATTTTAACTTTTCTTAAGCAATAAGTTACACTGATTAAATTTTTAAATAATACTGCATTTAATTTTTTTACCTCAACAATTAACGAAGTTATAGTATAATAAAATTAAAATATTTTCATTAGTAATGATAAGCTAACAATTCATATATATATATTTCTAATTCCACGTAATATGAATAATCATAGTAATAAGTGTAAGTATATAATATATAATCAATACAATTTGAATATTTTTTGTTTGATCACCAGTAAATGATATAGGTGGAGGAGATACGAATGAAGAATCGTCAATCACATCGAATCTATTTCTTGATTCGACAAAACTATATATCGTCGTTGGATGTGTTGCTGCTTTGCTTGCTCTTGTTTTATTGCAAGCAAGCTGTACTCTTTATAGATCGTCGAGGAGACGAGCGACGAAGGTATTATATATTATTTACCACTTTATATATTTAAACGTTTTTTTCCTCTTTTTTTTTATATATTCTTCGTTTCTCTATTTTCTGTTTATGTTACCTCTAATTACCTCTTTCTCTTTGTATTGTGTGTGCATCTAACTCTTTTTGTAAGCGTATTAGCGTTGTGGTATGGTTTAGAGCAATGCTAGTTTTCAAGCTGTGTCTATTAAAAGTAAACCCGCTTACTACTTTAGTTTTTAGATTTATTAGTAGAATTTTCCAGAATTGTATTCTCGGTAAAAATTACTTATTTCTTAGAATTCTGTTAATTAATTCAGAAATAGACGTATTTTTCAAAAATATTATTACATCCAATATATGAAATAGATATAATATATCTTTGTAACTTCTTAAATTTATGTGCATTCCTAAATATAATTTAGATATTTTTTTTTAAATATCTAGAAATATATAATAGAAACTTTGATTTAAAAAAAACGTTTTTTTCTTCTCATCATGGTTGTAATACTAGAAAAATTAGACATTAGCTTTAAACTGAACTTTCACTATTACTCTACTCTTATGAATTCGAAACGATTTTCTGCTTCGCTTGTGTTGCATGATCCGCTCTCTTCGCAACCATCATGGTGTAAAGAGGGTGTACTCGCTGCCTCTGGCTTCTTGTGACGCGCCCAACCCGATTCATCGTACGAACGCGACGCGGTATCATCGAAAAAATGGCGATCATCATCATCATCATCACCATCATCATCTTCGGCATCATCATCAACACGCTCCATATGAAATGCATCGTCCTAATCCCAGCTGGTAGAACTTCACACTTTGTACACAATTGACGCGCTAATTATTATTCATCGTACGCTTGTTTGCCCACTAATCCAGGTATTTCTTACACTGGCAATCTTTTCTACCTTTCTCCATTTCTCTTTTCTTTTTTTGCTTTCGCTTTTTGTTGTTTTTTTTCTTTTCTAATTCTTTTACTGTGCTTACCAAAAAAGTGTAAGTGTAAATAGTAGAAATAAGAAATATCACATTTAAGTGACAAGTTTCATCCTTTTGCTTCATAAATAAATTTGTATAAGCTTAAATATATGTTCAAATTTGTATAAATAGTAAACACTACTTGCAATGGTGATAATCATAACGTTAATAATTATTTCAGGATCGTTTGATCGCCAATAATGCTTGGAAGGACTACGCTTCAGGTGCGAACACAAATTTTGCTTTCGAGGCATTCGAGACAGAAGAAAAGGCTCCACCACCGCCAGTTTCCAGTTTACCTCGTCATAGAGAAATGACTGGAAACGGAATCGGCACAGATACTGTGGAAGGCCCTAATAGGATAGTAGGGCCACGAGCGACATATAGTTTGCCACGTGCACCGGGTTCGAGGCACACAGCACCCATTCAACCTGGTTATTATACACAAGATCGCAGGGATCATTATCAACGATCGAAGAATAATATGCATAATTTAACAGGCGGTGGTGTATCCACTCAACCGAATCAGCCTGATTTTTATTTTATGCCCAGTCAACGTAAATACAGTGGTGAAGTTGTGCGCGTGTACGTGGATTATGGAAGTCAGGCGCCGAAATAATTGAAGGAAGCATATTAGAATTTAAAAAAACGAACGATAAGAAAATGCATCAGTGACAGTGCTGCCCTCTTTTCAGCCTTTCCTCGTTCATAAATCCAAAGCGGACGATTAATATATCTCGCTTCAGTGAAGCGACATTGTACATAAAACGTGTTTAGTGGACCTGGAGAAAACGAGACTTCGAAACGAGCCCTTTCCTCCGGTGCTTCTTTAAATATTTTTTTTTCCTTTTGTTTTTTTTTTTTTTTTTTTTTATTTGACGGATCGTTGTTCTATTATTTTTTCCCGTTGTCGTATTTGCTCGATTACATGCGAGTGTCGAACGGGGGCAACACGCACGGTTTCGTTTAAAAGAATTACGCAGAAGTGGCGCTTACGACCAAAGAGTTATCGATAAGGCGCACTCGGTGCGCGGTTCTGTACAAAAGCGCGTGAAGAAACACACAACACAATATCACTGTAATTCTCGATGCGTATCCCGATACGTGTGGAATGTATCCAAATTCGTGCGTCATTACAGCAATATTTTACATGTATTTACGAGCAAGCATGGATGTTTTGAGCAATAAAACATTTGTACATTTTTCTAATTGAATGCATGCTTTTTTTTCTCAAGGATAAACAAATTTCATCAAAATAACCCGTTGAAAGGAGGATTTTGTTTCTGTTTCGTATTACTATTAATGTTAGTTATGTTTATAGTGACTTTTTTTATCATACTGTTTAGTTAGTTTGTAAAATAGAATTGAGATTGAAGTTTAAACTGTCTTTTTAAAGAAATTTCTTTTTTTAAATGCAATCACATGTTTCTGCATAAAAGCGACACAAATATATATGTTTAATATTATCTATAAAATGTTAAGGTGAAATATTCCAAATATATATTTTGATTTAGGTTTTGCATATCTCATCGATGATAAATCATGCATATTTCATTTATAAATAACAAAATATGGAATAAATGAAAGAAGTAAAATAATTCGAAGATATCAATCTATGACTATATATAATATCAACAATAGTGTTGATAATTATAATAATGACATTAGAAATAAGTAAACAAGACCTTGTAAATAGTATCTGCTAAAAAGAATTTTCATTGTGTATCTGAATCTCATTTTGCTACTCCTTAAATGGATTATTAGAAACTGTAATACTTACAATGACGATATTGTCAATAAGACAATCGTGTTGGTACGGATCATAAATTATTACAATAGTGATAAAATTAACGATAATACTTGTAATAATCATAATAACGATAGTAGCAGCAGTAATAACGATGGCAATAATATTACAGTATTAATATTACATTAACGTCATTAACAACGGCGTCGCGCGCAATGACTTCCGACTTATTCTTCATGAGCGATGGAATATTCAAGATCAATATAGTTAATAATAATAATAACAATAGTAATAATAATAGTAATAATAATATAATTAATAATAATAATAATAATAATAGTAATAATAATAGTAATAATTATAAGGCGACGCCACCAGGTAAGCTTTTTTAATATACCTTTGAAAGTCGTGTATTCGGAAGCCAATTATAGCACGCATTGCCTTCCTTGATCCTATTATTATATAACTAGTATCGAGCACATATTTTCGGTCCTACTGTAAAATTCTTTTTCTTCTCTTCCGTCACATAGTGATGCGAAGTATGAGAAACAAGAATCATGCTCTGAATCACGTACTGGACATACCCGCCAGAAAGCGTAAATAAAATAATAAATTTATATTTTATCTTTGAAAAGATGAGAGAAAAAAAATACTTCCTTAGAATAAATCTTACGAATAAATGCGCATTATATATAGTATATGTATATATGGATTGCGTGTTTACAAACAAGAAATATAATAAAAACGAATTTTTGTTTTTTCTTCATGCACTTATACTTTTGGCGAGTATGTACAGTTCCGACTAGTTTTTTTTTTTCGTCACTATCGCATTCTTTCATTCAAGCGTATGCAAGCACGCTCAGATACACGCATACACATTTAAAGCTTATCTTCCACGCCCTTTTTATCTTCTCTCTGTCTCTCTTTTCTTTTTTCTAATCTTTCTTTTTTTTTTTTCTTTTTCTACATTCCAATTTTTTTACGCTCTCGCGCACACTCATTTTTTTTATAGATACATACAACGCGTAAGATCAATAGCACATTTGTTTTTTCTTTCTCTGACTTTTTTTTTATCTTTTTTTTTATCTTTTTTTTTTTTTTTTTTTTTAGCTTTCATCGATCAAAGCAGTGTAATAAGAGAGTACGGACAGACGAACATTTGATAAATGGAGTGAACACGATAGTAAGGCTTAATTTAAATCTGTTAGTAAATTATAATTCCGCGCACGCTAACATTTTCTGTGCATAGACAAGCCTGTATCCATTCAGGTATGCACTCGAATGACGAGGGCCGGGGATCTCACTTCCTGAGCTTAGCCTATTCACTTAGAACATTATATCGTTTCTTTTCCTATTATTTTTTCTTACTCTTATATTCATGTTTCCGCTTCGAACGATGTCTTTCTCTCGTTTCGGAATAGTTTGTTTCTTTATTTTTGTTCTATTTCGCTATTTTTCTTTCTTGTAACAGTTATCTATATTGTCACTTCGGCAGATGCCACACGATTATTTCCCCACATCGATTCAGCTATCCTGCATCGCTCTCATTCATTCGCCGCTTATTATCCACTCCTTCACTTTCTTTGTCTAACGTCGGAGTCTTTGTTGGGTGTTGGCTTGCTGCGGAATGAAATAAAAACAATTATTAAATAAGATCGATACTGTTCGAAGGTGACTAGTTACGAGGATGAGTCACGCACAGTGTAATAATCAATAAATGGTGATGTTATTATATATACAAGATGTTTCAAATATAGGTGGCATGATGAAAAGCTTAACAAGCGTTTTCTTTTTCTTCATCTTAATTTTTGTAATATACATGATGAACGTTTGATACATAATATTATATATCTAATAAACTAAAACAACAAAAAATTTTTTCATATGTCTTCAAAGATCTATATTATTGAATACTATCCGAATTATCAAATTAATTGCAATAATAACGATCTACAAAGAAGTGTAATTAAATTATTTATATTGAAAGTATTATTTACAAAAGCAATTCCGCGATTGATCTAACCTAAATATTTAGCCACCTATTTATGAAATGATTTGCATATAATTTGAAATTTGATGACAATCGAATCATATACTTTCTATTCTTCAGAAATAAAACTTTAAGTTCGTATTTCTTTACTTTCACAGTATTCTCTTTTGGATAAGCGCCAATATAGCTGAAAGCGACGGCACGACTTCAGAGGGAAAGATTTAAAGCAATAGCGGGATAGACTCAACCGCGCAGGTGCAGATGAACGACGTGATTCTTTGGAAAAGAGCAATTGTTGGATGGCCCTTTGACCTGGGAATTCTGGTTTTGATGGTGTAACAGGGGGATCGACAGGAAGTTCAGAGGGTGGGAGAGGCCCGTGCAATGGAATATAATACTCCAATCTATCATCTCTTCTACTCGGTCCTCTATAGATAGATTTAAATTTCAAATAGTTTAAAATGAGAACAATTTTTATATGAAAATTATAAGAATGAAGAAATATACATACGTGTCGGGGCTTTGATCGGTATCAGACTCCTCGAGTTCAGCCTTGTTTCGCTTTTTTTCATAAACTAAAATAATGGCGCACAAAATAACAACCTCCGCGCAAATGCCTAAAAAGGGCCAGAGTGCGGCGAGCTTATCTTTGACCCTGAGGAATGTATGCGCCTCTGCCATGTGATTTTCTGCAGTATCAGACCAGTTATAAGATACCCTGCAGTAAACATTGCCACGATCGTTCATCTCGATGTTTTCAACCATTAGGATAGCGCCATATATATTTCTTTCATGGTCCCATCCAAGTTTAACGCGGCCCATGCTATGCGTGTAATTCTGGTCCCCAAACTTCCATGATACTTTGATACCAGGATTTTGCTTACCAGCACAAGTTAAATGCAATTTTTCTCCTTCTACTACGCTTGTTGAATCAGGCATGTACGCCGTGGGTCTTGCTGCAAACAGTAAACATTTTTAAAATTGATGAATTAAAGAAAAGAAATTGGAATGGTTGTATTAAAAAAATTAGAATGTTAATTTTAATAAATTTTAATAATTTTAATAAATTAAAATTAAAATTGTTGAAATGAAAAATAAGAATAAAATAAATAAAAGAAAATAGTTTTATTCTAAAAACTTTACTATTTTTAGAATTATTTTAAAAAGATACTTACGTACGATCCTATATTCTGTAGAAGAATTGGTTCCTTTGCAAGTATAATTTCCGTACAACACATCTGAGGTTTTCAGAAGTTCCAGAACGCCTGTTTCATTATTTAGTTTTATTAAGTCCTCGTTACCAGCTAACGCTGTATGGATCAAAACTCTTTCTTTATACCATAGTAACTTCTCTCCTGCGCTTTTATTTGCACATTCTAATGTTAACGGAACATCCGTGGGTGCAAATACTTTTATCTTGAGATCTGTATCAAAGAAAATTCAAATCATTTTTTACTTAATACTTGTTCATTATTCATTCTTTACATGGTAAAAGACTATTATTCAAATTTCAAATGCTAATATCACTTCACAAACTTATTAATTATACAATTTTTGTTTTTAGATAAAATTTGAGGCTTGTTTTATGATTTCAATATAGAATTCATAATTTTAAAGTACACATATAAATTATATGTTATATGATACAACATATTTTATCATATTATTTTCATACTATTTACGATTTCTAACATTTCTTATCTTTAATATCATCCTTATCAGAAGAGTAGGCCGTAGTTATCTTTTAAAAAGATAAAAAACCAATGTAAGAATTATATTATTTTTATAGATAAATTACATTATTATATCTTTCATTTATATTTCTTTAATATAATATTTTTAAAATATAATTATAATAAAATTAATTAATCTTAAAAATTTTGTAAAAATCTAATGGAATAAAAAGGAAAAAATCATATGAAAACAAAGAATAAAAAAAAATCATTCTGAACGTATTTTATACGTTATGAAAGATTTTTTATAAAATTCTGTAAATTACCAAACAAAAACTTCATCAGCATGAGATTTCTAGGACATAGAGATAAATCTGATTTTCCGTTTATTCTTCTAACGAGCTTCAAGTTCCGAGAATCTGCAATCGTAATTAATTTCACAAGCGGCACAATTGAGCACATAATGAATGCCAAATATAATAACAATGGCAGATTACAATTACGAAGAAAATAATATAGTCAAGATTTTTTCAAGCATTTCTATTCGCAAAAGAACATATGGCTGGCTATAATAAGAATTTCAACAAAGTAGCAGCGATAATCCATTGCAACGTGAATCACGAGATACGTTTTTATTTTTATTATTTTATATATTTTCTCAAAATAGATAAGTAGTACGTATTTCATCACCAGAAATTAATTTTTTGATCGGTTAAAAATTCAGTATTTAATCAAAATGTTCATCACAGTTGCTTTTTCTATTGACACAGTTCAATAATACTTAATAATAATGTTTAATAAGCAATAATACAAACTGCGAATAGATAAGTAATCCTAATTGATTATTATTGCTCAACTATTTGCTTAACAATATATACATTAATGTTGAGAAAATCATGCGTCATCAAAAGCGAAAGAATAGATGGCATGGAGCGTTATTCTAACTCTACAATTACAAATACTTTCACTGTGGAATAACACATGGAGAAAAGAGTGAGTATCACAAGTTATTTTCATGATTTTCATTTAATTAGAAGCTCAAGCAATGAATAGATATCATTAGTGTAATAATCACATTCTCAGGATGAACTTTGAACTTTCATATGTTTTAATATATGATAGACATCGATCGATGACAAGCGATGATAATACTTAATAACAAGATTCTTTGTAGAAAGATACGAAGAAATTTCACAATTGCTTACAATTTGATCAAGGAAAATTTAAAGTAATGAAGATACCTGAAATTCAGATAAATATTTAAAAAAAAAAAAGATTGTAAAATTCCTTGAAATTATATTTATGTTATAACAAAAAGAATAATTTAATATGTCACAGTCTATTTTAATCTATAAATATATTTGTTTCTTGAATTCTTTAAAAAATGTATAAAAGGAAATTTATTTTGCTTTAAAGGAAAAATAATTTAATATACATGGATATATAAAAGTCAACATTATTTTTTTAGAATCATTTTTAATGTACCAATCATATTTAGGAAATATTTTAATTTATAAAATTTATCATAAGAAAAACAAGGAAAGCATAAATAATTAAAATATTTTAAATCAATGGTTTTTCAATATAAATTAATAATACTGTATTATTTATAAAACTGTATTTTCATATGTTTTCTTAGCACTTATCTAAAAAATTTAATTATATTAAATTATTTTTTCTTCCTATAAAAAAAATTTCTTTTGATACATTTTTTGAATAACAAATAATTAGAAAGCTAAATGCATTTATTATTAATTGAAATGGAATACCCTATATATAATTATTCATATAAATAACAGATGAAACAAATGAAACTCATTAAATAAATCAGATAAATTAATATATAATCATATGTATCAAATATGAATTCATTAATTATATCTATCATCAATATATGATCAAATGTAATAATATTCAAAAATCCTATACAATAATTAAGGAATCAAAATGTATTCTACGTTAAATGATATAGATTCTTGGAGCAATCTTTAATTGATTTTAGATTTCCCTAATTATAATTTTTCATTACACTTCTGATATCTATAAAATTTAACATATAACATTTTAGATTCTTTAAAATTATCATACAATAGAAATTATACAAACATCTTTTACATTACATCAATACATAAAAATAAATAATTACCACATAAATACATAAATACAATAAGCAAACAAACATATAAGCAAACAAATACAGTACTGACTACATTTAAACGTTCATAGTCCAAAACAATATTTGAACGCTTATATCATATAAATAAATAATCCAAAAAAAAAAAACAAGTATGAATGGATTACTGATACTCGGTGCAAACACAACATGCAATAACGATTTAACATGACAACGCTTTGTGACCTCAGTTTCAAGAATTGGGAAATAACAATGGAGGCTGAAGTTGGCAGACATCCGAACGCTTATACCTGTAGTCTGTAGTACTGTATATAAGCAAACAGCATAAAAGTAATGAAATCTGTTAAGGGAAATCAATATACGAACCGTAATATATCCACAGATGAAAGGACTCATCGCTATCCTGAGTGCATTTATAATCCCCTTCATGGTTATCTGTGGCATGCATTGCCTGGAGGGTGCTACTTCCGCTGCCCACTGGCGATTGGACGACTAGCTGACCGCTTGCCAGTTCTGGCTCAAGCGATTGCCCGTTCCTAGTCCATCTGATCAAATCGTCCGACTTCAGGTTGCTACATTTGATTGACCAAGGTTGATTCTCGTGCACGACCGACGCTCCCGTGTAGGTTACTTTATTGGGAAGAACATTACAACATCAAGAGGTGAACAACAACTACACATATATAATTTTGTATAAATGTCTGGTTTCTATATAAAAAATAGATTACAAGTGTATTGTTTCTAAAGAGATGATTATCTTTACTTATTGCACCAATGACGTTTTACAATATATTCTACAGTGCAAACTATATGATTGATCGGGATTTGATTTTTGATTTTGATTAAAGATTTCCTTATTAAATATAATATTTGGCATAATTCACAATTATTATAATAAATCTTTTCTATAATAATGTTTCTGATGTTTATATTTTAATTTGTTTATGTTTTAATTTTTTTACAGACAATTAATATACCTATATATTTTTTTAATCTAATAATTGACAAATCAAATCTTGGTTATGTAGTATAGTCACGTACTAACTATTTTTTTAGAATTATTCTTATTTCTGAAAGAGTACAATGAATACAAAATAATTATAAGCTATATAACGAAGAAAAAAGAGAAAAAATTCTTCAATGAGAATATAATTTTTTCATTCTCAGTAGAAAATAGAATTCTGGTCAATTGACTCGCAGAAAGGAATCGAAACCGGCCGGCGCCAAAAAGTCAATCACAACAAGACGTGCAGCAGGAATGCAGGAACATCAGTAACGAACACGTTGATCCGGTTCCGCGAGGTAGAGGACAGACACGTTCAACGATTCCTATTTATTTTTAGCGATTTATTCTTTTATAACGCCCCGTCGTCCTCGTAGACACCAACTCGACCAGATGAAATTATAATACATGCAAGCTCGAGGAAAAAAGTGATAACTATCATATTGAAGTGACCTATAAAATAGCTATTATCTTCTGTCTTCTCTATTATAAAATACATCATAAAGAGAAAAAATATATCATATTTCTTCAAGAATCAATGTTTACAGTTTAAACATTTACATAATATGATTTTTCTAAAAATAAATAACTATTAATCTAGTAACTTTCATTCCTGCAGTCATTTTTAATTTCTATATATATATATATATACATACATATATACATATATTCCTCATGTATACAAAACAACAAAAAAGATAATACAAATTTAAATTTTTAACAAAATCTACCGATTTTAGTGAATCTTTTTAAATTTATAATTAAGAAATTTCAGAATTCGGGATTATAAAAAGAATAAAGATAAAATTTTCAAATAAGAAAAGTGTATAGGGAAAATGTATAAATAAAGAACCGAGTCTAACTACTTTATATTTACGAAGTTATAGGTGTACTAGAACGCCAAGTAGGATGGAAAATAGATCGATAGCAGAAGCGAACACGTGCCACATGACCCTAAGACATCAGAAGTATATGTATATAGAAGTATATGTATAGTAGAATCGTGTATTCTATATAGGCGCGGTTCAGAAAACGAGGTTGATAGCTCACCATTCATTTATGATTCAAACTGGAAGCAAATTTATTCATGTCTGCCACTATTAATAAAAATCAATACATTAATTTTTAATACATTAATAATAAATTATTAACATATTAATATTACAATATTAACACATTATAGACATAATCCTTAGAATTCTATTAAAAATTCTATTAAAAATTACATTTTCAAATTATCTTTTCTAAATTTTGTAAATATTTCAGACTATTTTCTAATTATTGATAAATAAATCTTGATAATGAATATTTATACTATTAAATAAACAAAAAAAAATTTATTGATATAATTATCTTTCCTATTCTATCTATAAATAAATCTAAGCGAACAATTGATTTGAGATAAAAATACTTCAAGAATAAAAAAGGAAATAACTTTATATATATATATATATATATATATATGTATATGTATATATATATATATATAACGAACTACCTCGAACTGGACCAAACTGGAACTATACGGAGTTATTTTTTGTCCAGGCTGAGATATCGAGTTCCATTGAACGTCTATAGGAAGAAATGTCGCGAAAATCTTTAAACATTTTGCTATGCAGAAATATAGAGAACACGATGGAGGACGCAGAAATTGGAACACCCATGATGTAGGACGCAATTTGGCAAGTTGGAATTATACGAGATGGAGCACAAAAGTTAAGAGAGCCAATGCTTACAAATATGTTCGACTACTCTAATGCCATGCCAAAAATCAAAAATTTCTATAATTTTTAGTTATAAAGTAGAAATTGAATTCATTCAGAGAAAAGATATATATTCATGAAAAATTAAATAATTGATTGATTTTAATTTTAAGTTTAAGAAAAGAATTATTCAAATTTTAAATTTAAAATAAAAATTATGTAAAAATCTTTTTAATAATAAAAAAATATATTTTTGTTTTATAAAAAAGAACAAATAATTAAAGTATGTTTATCATGAATCGAATTTGCACATTACAAAATATCTGTATCTGTTCAATTTTTCTAATATTATTAATTCTTGCTTTTAACAAACTTAGAAGATAAATGAATTTCAAATATGGGTCGTTTGAAAACCGGTCACTGCACTTTCTGATAAACTCATCAATTTGATGTAAGAGAGAGTAGAGTTAAAGACTTTCCAATAGAAATACATTGCAAGTTTGCTCCAATAAAGCTAACGTAAATAAATGAAATTACTCAAGAATCGAGAAATTTTATTCTATATTTTATAATTCAAAAAATAAAAAAAAATATATAAATAATTCAAGATGGATACTTATTTCTTATCTAATCATTATTATTTAGATAAATTAATCATCAACGAAATATACAAAAAGAAAAATTAAAAATTCGTCTAAAATACAGTTTATAAAAGTTATTATAGTTTATGGAATAAATATATTAAATTATGTCAATTTGAAATTTATTGTACGAGATAAGTAATATCGATGAATATTTTATAGTCTGTACGATAATCACAAGAAAAAAACTTTCAATCTATATTGTTTTAAAATTAATAGAAAACTAACTAACTAAGAATCAACGAAATCAACAAACATTTCTAAATTTAAGCTAAAGATTATATTCCGTGATGTTATCATGTTTTATTTAACATACTAATACTCAATGACGTATACGAATTACTTAAGTGATTTTTCCTTTTAGTTTTCTTTATCCTCGAATTTAGATGTTATCTTAATGTAAACGGAACAACATTTAAAAATCACATCAAGTATCACAAAGACCAGTAGTTAAAACGAACAGAAACATAAAAACTTAATATTATATCTATTTACTATATATATTATACTAAAGATTAATTAAATAATTGATAAAAATATTTTTTAACATAAAAATAATAAAAAGATTCATTGAAATTTTTCCATATCATTTTTCCTATCACATATCTTAACAGAATAAAAATTTTACAAACAAGAATTTTTGAAGTCTCTGTTATTCTTTTATAAATGCTATAATTTCAATAATTAACTTAAATAATTTGTGACGTAATAAAACTCACTGTACTTTTGGAAATAATATCTCATTGATCGCGAATTCTTATTAATTATGTATAAAAGAAAAATTAATCAAAAAGTTCTAACGTTTTAAATTTTTACATTGTTTTTTTGTTTAATTTGTTCAATTTTGAGATAAAAAAAACCTGGATTAATTTACGTGTGGTTACGCATGTCTATGTCAATAAGAGATGCCTCTCTTACGTCATTCTCAGTGAGAGATAATAAATACATGGCCATAAGATACATGCATTGGCAAAGATATATATGCGATGATTTACACAGTTAATGTATATCTCAAAGATATAGTATGAAGAAAGAACATTGGAATTGTAAACGCGGTCACGTGCCAAATATATTCGATCTTCGAAGATTGGGTAAATTCCTTCTTCGGTTATTTTTTTTTCTTCTCAAGTTTTCCGTGATGCGGAAGATTCGTCTATATTTTCTTGGAAATGCATTATACATATATAGTATATTAAGACAAGCTTGAAACAATAAAATGATTCATTTTAGTTCTATAAAATTCTACAGTTTTATGAAATTAAAGAGATTAAAATTTAGAATATTGAAAATATTCAAAATATTAAGATTAATTAAATAGAAAGAATAAGAAGAATAATTAAATGAACCAGTGTATCTTTTCGATTCGAGCGATTCTTCCGGATCAGGTATTTTATTGGATCTCTACTACTATTTTGTAAAATACAGATTTATCATGAAATAATATGAAAAGATTGAACACCCGTGCTTGCTACGTGAAAGATACACTTTTTTTTTGACACTTAATTATAGTTCGAAAATTACACATATAACTACATACCATAGGAATCTGGAGGATGCCTACTGCGAAAAGACTCCGCATTGGCATACATTATATGAATAATAACATAAAAAGACAGCATGCATAAGGATTCTACAATGATTCAACGTTACACAAAAAAAAATTCTGCTTGAATCATCGGTTGAATGTACTCACTCTTTCAATTTTTTATTCATACGTAATTAATCTTAACCTGTATTAATTCTATAAATAATTAATTAACATTTCAAATTAATGATTTATTTTAAGTAAAAATATGATAAAATAAATGATTGAAAAATTTACGCATAATTAATGATATTTCAAATTAATTGGATAAGTTTATTCGATTTTCAAAGAATGATCAAAGTAATGCTTATGCGCGAAGGTCACATGACTTAGCGTTTCGATGACGAATCGGTAAAATTATAAATACGCTATAACAGTATCTACGAATCAGTACATATCATAGAGATATTTGCAGCAGTAACAAAAGTCGGGCATCGGTTGAGAATATGATTCATTAAAATGGCTCGTTACATTTCATACGAAAATGTCAATCGTTAATTATAATAATTTAATGCGATTGGAAAATTATTGAAAAAATTACAAGAAATTGACAATAAATTAATGGAAAATTTTTTTAGTAAAAAAATAAAAATATTTTTAACAAAAATAAAACATCTGATAAATGACAATATAATGACTTAAAGAATTTTTCTCAGAAAAAATTAAAAAAGAAGATATAAGAAAATAAAAAATTAATTTATGATATTTATTAAAATTAATATAAAAATCCATATATTTTTATTGTTATTGAATTTAATAACATCAATAAATTCATGTAAAACTTTTAGTAAAAGTATCAATTCCCGGGGATTACATACTCGTTACCTGTATCGATAGTTGAAATCATTTAAAGTAAGTTTTAACCTAGATCTAACCTAGACCTAGAATACTAAAAGACTGACAAAAGTTTTTAATCGGTTTGGTCGGATAATAGTTACGTAATAAACTAAAGATATCCTAATGAAAGTATTTTGGTAATAAATATGAAATGATTTGTATAACGAATATATTACAGAATATATAAACCAAAAAATTTGGCCTAGTTACTGAAATAAAGATTATTATGAAGTTTTAGTTGGTAGTATTAAGTTGGTAGTATTGCTGCTTATGAATAAATATAAAGATTTCAGAACTAATGAAGAAATATTCATAAAAAAAGTAATTAATAAATTCATGAATTTTTCATTAATAGTATAGATATCTTATAAGTGAATTTGTGAACGACAGTGTTGAAATTTACTGCAGAAAAAAATTATATTTTAGCAGAAATTTTTCGCATTAATATGAATAAATGTATGGACTATAAATTACATTATAGTATTGCAAATCTATCATCGCGAAATATTTTATTGCTTTACATTTAATCTGTAAAATCTATAACATATATCAACATATCAACAAGAAAATCGATTGAAGAATATGGAGCTAGCATGTCTTTACATTGTAGATAAGATATAAAACTCGATAAAAAACGTATATATAGGTATCGATTAGCGTACTCATTCTCGATAATATACAAATATAAAAAATATGTTCTTCTAATAGAAATTTAATATTTTCAGAATTTTTCGTTCATCATAAAAATAGTATAAAATTACATAAAATATATACATAGTCAAATTTATACTTAAAATAGTAGATATTAATCTCATGTTGTCATTGAAAAAAATTTCGTAAATAAAAATAATCAATTTTGATGTGAAATAGATTTTCATATAAATTTTCAATTTTTTATAAAATATTTACGAAATGAAATTGTAATAATGAAAATTGTAATGGTGTTACATTATTTTATGGTATATATATATACTAAAGATGCGTCAAAAATAGATGCATGCTCCCACGGTTAAATGTAAACATTATTCTTGTCTGGTTTGCAAATAACGGCAAAATTGAGCGAATAAAACATTCACGGCGCTAGAATGTAGAGGTTAAGTTTACTTTTCAATAAACAAGGTATGCGACTAAAAATATAAACAAGGAAAATATATCTTTACAAAATTATTTTAACTCTAACATGAATACAAATATGACAACTTATAAAAGATTTTTAATTTTATGTTATAAACTGTAACTAGTATCAAAACGAGATGGAGACAAAATGAAAATTATATTTATAAATTCTAAATATGTTATCCTGACAAACATTTAAAATTTTTTCACACATTTTCACAACTCGATGTACATTAATATATTTTTGACTTCAAAGTAAGATTTAAAGCTTTAATTATTATAATATTAAAAATATGATTTGAATAAAAAAATTTTTTTTTAAAAATTAATAACTATTTATTATTTTTTAAAAATTAAAAACTAATTTTTTTATACGAAAGAAATTTCTTCATTTTTTTATATATTGTATAGTAAAATATTCAACAAATAATAATTGAAAAAGTATTTATGTATTATATTTATCTGTGCACAATATAGTAACAATACTATCGCGATTAAAAATTTTGCGATTTATATAATAATCGAGTGAATACAAAAATTTTCCGCGTAACGATTGCTAAAACTCAGTAAAGTTTTCTGGGTGGACTAGTAAAATAGGGTCAATTGTTACGCAACAAAAGTTGCTTGGCGTGGGTACTTTGCGTACGTCTCTTGGAATGTAACTGCAGCATCAAATGTTGTGATCCTACTGTCTTGCATTATAACTAAAAGTGCGCAATTCGAATGATCATGGTCAAAATTCACCATATTAGAAAATTATATTCGAAAGTCACGTGTTCAAATTTTTATGCGAATGATATATTAAGTATATATAACGAGATTATAACATAAATACAATATAAAAACTCTATATTGTAAAAAAAAAATAACATATCATAATATATGTATTTTTGTCAAAAATACTTCAAAATAATTAAAAATAATTTATATGAACAAAAATTTAACTTTAGCTTAAAACGATTCCAGAAATGAATTTATACATAGAAATAAACGATTGAATAAAAGAAATAAACATATTTGATTTACTTGAATTTTTTAGATTGATTATAAATTATATATACATATGTATATATAATAATAATGGGATCTAAGTAATACCAATAATTTGATCATAAATCAAATTTTCAATTTATTTCAAAATCCTTTAAATAATCTTTAAATATTCAATTTAAAAAAATAATTGAAAATAGATTGATGCCTTGTTGAGATACTTATATTTCTAATGTAATGGTATAATCGAAACTAAAAATAAAATTTCATAATTTGTCAAAATATATCACTTGTATTAATGCGAAATATTCGTAAAAATTATATTACATAAAAAACATTTTCAATTTAAAATATAATATATTATATATATATATAAAAAAAATAATATTTGTATAAGTATATACAAGTGTATATATATACATATATATAATATAATATATGTACATACACATACACACATATACACACACATACTATTCTTTTTATATAATATTAAAAAAGTTTAATAAATTTAATAAAATAATCTTATTTGCAATTAGCGCATGTACAATAAAGATTTCAGACACCATGTGATATCTACGTCACTACTAGTGATGATTAAATCTTTTGAATTACAATCAATTTTTAATTATAAATATTATATAGAAATATCTTCAAAAATTTTTAAAGAAATAAAAAAAAATTAGGTAGTAATTTAGGCAGTAATTATCTTATTTATCTCAGAAATAACATTCGATTGACATCTTCTTAGTATTCAATCGTAATATCAATTTTCTTATATTAATTTATTATGATTATATTATAAATCAGTATTTATAAAAAATGTGAAGATTTTTTCCATATTTAATTAAAAGAAAGAATTTTATTTTTAAATATTTTTTTTATAAAAAAAAATAGCCTGCACAAAGAATCATATACAATTTGACAATACAACGAATGCTATATAATAAATGATATAACATGATATAATAATATAAATGATATAATAAAGGCAAAAGAATGAAATACGAATAAATGAATGATTGAATAGTAGATAATCCAAAAGAAAGGATAAGTCTCACCTGCCTGGACCGTGACGAGGGTGCCCGCTAAATATAGCATTCCCAGCAGCACAAAAGCAGCTCGTCTCTCCATCTCGTGGCGCTGATGTACGCGGTGGCGCGTGACTGTGTGCACTTTGCAATAGTAACGATTCTCTTTGAAGAAGGTTTCTAAGAAAGAAACTGCAAAATAACACTGTCTTGCAGGGCTGTCGTAGTTTTGTTTTCGCGATCGTTGTCGCCGTCGTATCGTAGCCACCGTTGTCGTTATCGTCACCGTCGCCACCGTCGCCGTCGCTGTCGCTTGTAACAACCTTTCCGGCAGCTCCTCCTTTTCGGCTGTCCACTCAGCCAACTACGATCAAGCCCCACTACTTTCTGTGATCATTTACACATGCACTCGTCACTTCGAGCACTGTATCATTGACGTCTGAATTTTTTTATCGTTATCTCGCACCGTTTTTATCTTGGTGTTTTATCTTGGCACAGAATAACACCACAATTCTATATAATACCGATTCTTTTTTGTTACTCGATCGACTTGAAATTATTAAAAAACAATAATTAGCACTACAAGCCGCAGAAACAACAGTATCAGTTAAAATGGCTGCCACTATCTTCTGCTTAATTTTCTGCGTCTTTCTTACTTTCTCAATTGTCGATCCCTCCTTTTCGCACTCCGGTAGACTACTCACATACGTCCTCTACAATTATCCAATAAGTTTCGTAGACGCATGCGCCATATCCCAAAATATGTAACTTAAGCAATTTTTTAAAAATAATTTATTTTATAATCCAATATAATAATATCATCAAATACAATTTAATTGTTGAATCACATTATATTTTTCATATACTAAAATATTTATTATGGATTATTTCATATATATAATATGACTTATTAAAAAAAATTTATTTTAAATCAAAGGTGCATAAACTTGCATTGACAAAATGACTAATATACTATCAATATTATTACAATAAAGACGAATTAAATTATAAAATGAATTTCTATAATATAATAAATGAAATTGCAACATAAAGTGTAAAATTCTATCAATATATAAATACACTATAATATGACTTAAATATATTTAATTTTATTTATTATTCAGTGATACCATACTTAGATTTTCATAAAATTATTTTACAAAATTTTAAATTATATATATATAATTTATAATAATATAAATTTATTTAAATTAATTATTTATATTTATTTAAGAAAAATATTAAGATAAGTTAATGAAATAAATATAATAGTACAAGATTTATCTATAAAGTTACAAAGTTTTGGTAATATTGCATGAATTAGAAATTCACTAACTATAAAACTAAACAAACTAAATACTATATACGATACTAACACATATTTAATTCGTAAAAAAATATAATGTAAAAATGCATATATTTATATTTTTTTTCTTTTTTTTAATATATTATATACATTATATATAATATAATATTATATGCAATATTACATTATATATATAATATGTGTTGAGTATACTTTAAATAACAATTAACCAGATAGGAATTTAGATATTACTCCTATTTTCACACTAATCATTATTTATAAATTGTATTTGTGAGATAAATTCATATTTTCAAAACGAAAAGGCGGTAAAATTGGTTTTCAAAATATAAAATTATATAAATTATTTTTGTATTGTAACTTATAAATCATCGTATTATAAATTATATATCTTGTGAGTAAATATTAATATAGAATTGTGCAAATTATAGAAGCTAGCAAAAACTATAAATTAAATTTAATAAATTATTACGTATTAATACTTAGTAAAAAAATATTTAATCATTTTTATTATTTTTATTATTTTACAAAATTTTTGCAATATATATTTTTTTAAGAAATAATTTTTAACTTATAATTTTTCTAATCTGAATATATACTCATATAAGAGCATATAAAAAATATTTAATAAAAAAAAATTATATATATTTCTTAATTTATTAATTTTTAATATCAAGATGGAATTTAATATAATATAAATATAATATAAATATATTATTTACATTTATTTTAAGAGATTTAAATTTTATTAATTATTCATAATCAATAATTTCTAGTAAAATTTTTATTACTATTTGTAGCTTTCTACTCAGAGAAAGTTTCAGAGAATATATGATATATCATACTATATGTTATTTTATAAATAGGATTTTAAAATTATAATTATATTTTATATTATAATGCAATAAAGAATTATAAAAATTAATAATAAAAAATATAAATATATTTGTGATAAGATATTGCAAGATCAATTTCAGATAACAGGTAAATATGTTGATAAATAAAATCTTGATAAATAATTGTGTATAATTTTATGGATTGTGATATTAAATATACAGCTTATTTATATAAAAGAATTACACAAAATTATTTTTTCTAGTAATTAAAAAATTATGGCAAATATCAATAAGAATTATGCAAAATTAAAGGAAATAAGTACTTATTTTACTGAAGAAACATTAAAAAATATATTGCATATTATATATAATGGAAAAGAAATAAATATATTAAGTTGGGATTTTTTTTCACAAAATTTTAAAGGAGACAATTATTTATCAATTATTAATAAAATTAAAGTAACTAGTGCTATTGATGGAAAGGAAGTAGAAGTTAATCTGGTGGTCAAATCTTTACCAACAAGTATAAGTAGAAGAAATGCATATAGAAGTCCAGAATTTTTTCGCAATGAAATTGCATTTTATACAAAGGTAAAAAATTGTTTCGTTATAATTACAATTTAATATATAAGCTTTTTCTTTTTTTAATTTCATAGAGTTTCTAGATAGTTCCAAAATTTGAAGAGTTTTTGAAAGAAAAAAATCAACTTCAATTATTGTGTATTCCACGTCATTATTCTTCTATTAGTGATGGTGACAATGATTACATAGCATTGGAAGATATTAGTGCTTCAGGATATAAAACAATAGATCGACGAAGTTGTTTTGATAAAGATCTATGCATGATAATTTTAAAAGCTTTAGCAAAATTTCATGCAATTTCCTTTGCATTAAAAGATCAAAAAAAAGAGACATTTATGGAAATTATAGAGCATGTAAATGAAACATACTTTAGTTATAAACATTGGAATTGGTACAAAAATTTTCATGTAAGAGTAATAAAAATTATCAATTTAGATATTAAATATTATATATTGCATTATAGAATGTTAATTTATTAATTTTACATATTTCCAGAAACGACTGATAGATATTAGTAAAAATGCTTTGGCTATGGAATATCCTGGTAGTCAAGCAGAAGAAAAATTCAATTCTTATAAACCCAATGATTTATATCAAAAAGGAATCGATTTATGCAATCGTAAATATCATTCAACATCTGTTATTACTCAAGGTGATTCATGGATTCCAAATTATATGATTAATATAACAACTGAAAGGAAAGTTATAATGCTTGATTTTCAATTAGCAAGATGTACTAGTCCAATTTTAGATGTTTCACCTTTTATTTATGTTTGCACTGAAAGATCTATTTGGTATGAAAATTTCAATATATTATTAAAATTTTATTATGATGAATTGGCTAATGCCATTCATTTACTTGGTTCAAATCCTGAAAAATTATATTCATGGGATACATTTATGAAAGAGGTAAATAGAATCAAATTATCATACATTAAATTTTTAATAATTATAATTTATAATTATTTAGTAATATTATTTAAATCAAACAATTATAGGTAAAAAAAAAATTTATATTTGGTATAATATATGCAATGGAACTAATCCCAATGAGTCTATTGGATCCGTCAGAAGCATTTGAATTACATGCAAATAATAATACACATGAAGAAGATATAGATATAGCTAATATATGGACATTGTCTAATATTAAATCAAAAGATGGAAGGCTCAGATTAGCTTCTGTTATTGTACATGGTGTTCAAAACGGATTTTTATAATTAAAAAAAAAATTTTTATAATAAAAAAATAAATGCATTTTATACATAACATTTATTAAATGTAGTATTAAATAAAATAGAGACAATCTGTATTTGTATAATTTCAATTATAACAACACAGTTTAAGTAAAATATAATTTGTATAAGAGTAGATATAGATAGTAGAATACCCATTATTCATTTGTTTAATGGGTATTTAAAATTTTTTTCTTATCACTTACTTAAATTAAGAAATCAAAAAAGTTTCATAAGATCGCTTCATTTTCATTTCCATTCATATAATAAAATATATAATATTACCAGAAATATAATTTTTAAAGACGAATACATTTTTAAATACTTTGCATATTTGATTGTTAAAATTTCACAAATCAAGCAAACAATTTTGTGTGATATATAACAAAAGTTATGATGTTTATTTTGATTTTTAAATACCACCATATTTTGAAAAAATATTTATAATTTTTATATAACTTAAAATTTGTGACAATATAATTAATATATCTTATATTATTTATTTTCATAAATTTTGATGTTGAACATTATTTGTTAAAACATTACTAGCATCAAAAACAGTAGTATCTTCATCATCCTCCTCATCCAATGGTAATGGTCGCATCTCAACATCTTGTCTATGTGCGAGAACACCATATTTTCTGACCATTTGGGCACGTGTTTTATTTAACCTATATATAAGAAAAATTTATAATATATAAAGAAAAATTTAATTTAATCAAAAATTAAATTTTTATTTTAATTTAAAAATGCTAATACTAACTTTAAAACATGTATGGTTAACTTTAAAACATTTATGGTTAAATAAATAAAATTTAATATAAATGCTAAGTACCTAAAGCTACGGAACACGATATAGGCCAAGACAAGAACACTTAGCCCCACAAACACATAAAAACCACGCTTCAGAGCTCCAGCATTTAAAGAAGTTGCATGTCCTTCACCCACATGCTGTTGAAAATTCACATTATTAATGATATAGTAGAGCTTTTGTAATAATTGTTAATGTCTAGGTATATGAAATCAAACCCATTTTGGTTAGATATACTGCAAATTTAAAAAAGAATAATAGAAACTAAAAAAATATCACTCCAAAGAAATCTTAATTCTTTTTTTAATCAAATTTCAAATACCAACCTCTTTTCGCGTTTCTGTGGTATGTGCAGTTTTATTATCATCTGTTTGTTTTGAGGTTATATTATCAACCGTTCTATTATTTTCTAGTATCGTTGTGCCACCAGATAATACTGCATTTTGTTGGTATTTTTCTCCATCTAAAGAATTATGTGCGTTATCTTTTTTTACTGTTTCAACATTTTTGTTTTCCGTTGGATCAGGTATATCCCTGCCTATCCTAAAACTTTCATTGCATACTGCGCTCTGTTTTAGTTGGAAGATCAACAGAAATATAAAAACTTTTATCATCTGGATCTTCGAGCGCTTCATTATTCTGTGTCATTTGTAAAAACTTCTAGGAAGGAAAACAGCGAAGCACTATACATTGACATTTAATCACGGGTTCCATGTTGACCCGGCTTATAACACTAACGTTTCAACTCGTTATTACTTCAATTCTTATTTGCGGTACACTCATACAAATATAAAACATATATATATATATATATATATAATTTAAAAACATTGAAAATATATTTATGCATGATGATTAAATATAATTACAAAATATCATAATACTATTATATATACACTACTATATTTTTTTTATATATATGTATGTAAAGTTATTTTCTATTTTAGTTTGTAAAAGAAATTCTAAAAAAATTTTTATAAAACTTGAAAATTTCTTTATTCTCTATATTAAACTAATTTAGCTAGTGCTGTCTTTAATTATGAATTAAAATATATGATAAATCTGCAGTATAAAATTATTTTTATATTTTAAATTTTTTCTAAAAGTTTTATGAAATGATTTATCATATTAATTATATTTATTATTTGTATGTAGTAACATTTATTTTCATATCTTACATACATTGTCTACATTAGTATAATGTAGTATAATAAAAATTATAACAATTGTCAAAATGACAAAATAACAGACAACTTTAATATGAGATATTTGTATTTATTCAATTTATATAAATAATATTTTTTATTTAATTAATTGACAATTTGTATAATTAAAACCTAAAATTTATATAATTGATATATCTTCAAATACTTATCTTTAATATACAATGACTTTATATACAATATCAAATATTATAAGCACAATTGACATGCGTAGTTGTTAGCTAATGAGAAAGAAGAATTTGACGCGTACCATGCGTACAAGCATACATAGGAGAACGGCAGTTGGAGTGGTTGGAAGTTACGAGTAGAGCACAATACACGTCAGGTTCTTATTTTGATTCGTGGAGGGGGCTCACCTCGAGGAAACGGGTGGCCAATTCGAAAGGATTTGCCAGGAAAGTGCAGGATACAGATCTCCAAACACAGATTAAACATGATACGCGCTGAAAATGGAGATGTTGTATATTTGGAACAGTTAAAAAACCCGATAGAGAGTGACGCGACAGAGAAGGCAGTGTCAAAAAAGTGCGAGGGGCAGCTGTCTTCAGTAAAGGCAAACAGCTGTTCGTCCTACAAAGGTGCAAATCGTACGACAGAAATGGCGCAAGAGGACAATAATCTGTGCTGGAATAATCTGCCCAGCATTATCCTACAGGAAATATACTCATATTTATCTCACAACTGCCGGTTACGAGTATCTCAGGTATTTTGAATTTTTTTTGCCCTTGAAATGTGAACTTTTGACCTGACACAGTGGGTAATTAAATTTCTGTGTCGAGATTCATATTTTTCTATGTTTTGCTTAAAGCTTTACTTTGAGCATTAATCTCAATTACTATTTTTATTTTATTTCTATATTGTTTGTTTACATTTTGAATATTCATCTTTAATTACAATGATAGAAAGAATGACTTAAATGCATAGAAATTATCTTTGCAGAAATAATTTATTTGAATTTGCATAGGTCTGCAAAAATTGGAGATATGCTCTGTTTCATCCTCATTTTTGGAAAAAGATCACATTTGTTTTGAAAGATGAAGAAAGTGCATCATGGTCTCGGTATTTATAAAATTTTTCACACATAGCATATATTAAGCATTGATAATATTTATTTTAATATTATTTTCTTGTAGATATTTGGCAGACAATTTTGAACTTAGTGTGCAAGAAGTTACAATCATCTGTGATATATCAAATTATTGTGCAAAAGAAACATTAGCCCTCTTGAGAAAACTAAAACATAATAGACAACTTCGTAAATTGTTTTTGAAACCTAGCAATAGTACCTTTGAATGTGAAGATAGTACAAAATGCACTAAAGAATTGGTATCTTCTCTTATAAACATTATAAAAAGATCTGATCATTTAGAAGCTTTGAGTTTGGGATGCATAGAAGATTTAACAGGAAATGCCAGACTAATTCTGGTACATTTACGTAACTGCCAAGCAAAGCACTTAACAACTCTTAGTTTGGCATCTGTTAAAGATGATCCTGATGATTACAATGCTTTGAATTCTGGTTATGGACATATGTTCAATTCATTCGCTAGATTATCTATTTTAACATTGGATTATGAGTTCCTAAGTGATTCTTTACTAAAAGCATTGAATAGCGGTACAATGGAAAGACTTGTAATTCACGTGCATGGTTGGCATTATCAGTATACGGGACCAACTGATAGTAGTTGGCAAGTTTTTGTTCAAAAAAAGTAAGTTATGATATTATTTAACTATTATTATTTTAGTAAAATATATATGATGTTAAAATATTCTTGGAATATTCTTTGGAGATCTTTCAGTTCTAAAAGCTAAACAAACTTAAAAATTGATATGTAAAAAAGTTAATTGAAACTTATTTATTAAATTTATAAAAATTTTAACTCTGTGTTAAATAAAATGAGAATAGAGATGAAGTGAGAGCTTTATTCATTTTATTTTGATTCTTTCATGCTTTATTGAACATTTATTGAACATATTTATTTAATCGCAATTTAATAAATAAACTTAAATATTTGTGTATTTATATTCTTTATCATTAAATTCTACATATTTTCTATATACTAGAAAATAATTTATTATGTTTTTTATTTTTAGTCCAAAATGCGAGTTGCGATTAAATCTTATACACTCTTATGTTGGAATTGAGAAATTAGATACAAATATACTTCGTCCTTCCATGCCTCTTACACATTTGAAAGTATTATTTTGTGAAACTGTTAATATCAGAGCATTGCATCGGCTATCCAGATGGTATTCACGTACTTTAAAATCTTTAATATTAATTGATTCAGTGCAACCTACAACAAGAAATATGCCAGCAACATATGATCCAAGTTATCCTCATAGGTATGTTCTTTTATTAAATTTTTATCTTTTAATTTTCTTATTAATAAATGGATTTTAATATTTTACTGCAGCCCTGATCCATTAGTATTAGTTGCATGGAAATGTACTAAGCTTGTGGAAATTGTATTATTAGGCCACAAATATCATCAGGAAAACTTATTAGCTATTGCACGTCTTCGGGGACATTCGCTTAAGTCATTAGTATTTGCACAAAGATTTATTACATCTGGCATTGAATCTTGGTATAAGGCTGAAACTATCACACATGTAAGTTTCTACTTTTAATATTGTGAACATGGTTTTAATTTCAATAAAATTATATCTAGAATTTAAAATGTTTTATTATAACTTTAATTATTTTATAAAACATTAAAATTATTTTTAATCATATAGGAAATAAAAGAAATAATGGGAAGCCAATGGGAACCATTGAGTGATGCAGATTTACCTACAGTTGTTAAAAATCCTCTTGATGGTGATAGCAGGGAAGTTATCATGCCATTGGTCCTTCGTGACCAAAAGTAAATTCTAATTTATACCAAGAAAAGATTACTCCCCGATATCGTACGCTACCGATCAACATCATCAACAATTTCTGGGCGAGCTACATTCTCAGAAGTAAAGTTATAAAGTTATATCCTTTATTTTTCTATAAGAATTGTTTTTACGAGAACTACGGATGTAACATCAAATGGTGGACATGTATAAATTCGTAGTTTAAAGTCAGTAATTGATGGATGCAATATTACCTGTCAGGTAAGGATCACACAGTTCCAATATATAAATAGCCAGGGTAAAAACGCACATAAGTTCTCCTTTACAATGATTTTATTAATTCTCATGAGAACGCGACAAGCCATAGTTAAGAACGTCTTTCTTGATTCCGTAATGCGAATTATCTAAATTAAGTATGAATCATGCCTATTTTTATTTACCGAAATAGATTGAAACAGTTTTCGTTGGTTTTTCCATGGAAAACTCCTCGTGAGGCAGTTAGTTTATGGTTAATAGTGGTGGTTTCATAACGATCAAAATAAGAAAAATGTAATATTTAATGATCGTTCCTCTCATCAATGAATATATTAATGGAAAAAAATATTATATACGAGTATAATAATATTCTTGATAGATATTAAGAATAAAACATTACAAGACGATACGAAGAAGAAGGCCTCATCAAAATGGACCTTCGATGTGTCATATACTTGTTGATATCATGGAAAAACAATTAAAAAAATATGTTACTATCAATGAGAGCTGATCATCGTATCAAACAAGAAATGAAAGAGAGGCTAAACAAGAAAATGGATTGATCTCACGATGTTCCACAGGAAAGCATAACGAAATTCCAAATATATGTAAGTAGAAACATGTTAACAAATATTTTTCCAATTTTATGGGAAATATATATCAAAGCGAGCGCCAAGAACATGCAGTGTAAGAAAGAATAAGTAAATGAAAAAATAAATATTAACTTCGTGGAAGATTGTTTGCAATCGAGTTGCACAGATAATACAAAGATGCACTCACAAATAAGATGAATAGCGATCCGAGGTTATTTTTAGTACCAAAACCAATCGGACGCTTTTGTACAAATATTAAATGAATATATGTCGAAAAGAGTACGGTTAATCTAGTGGTACATTTGATGGTATCAGTTAAATACACATCAAACATATACATCAAGCATTCATATATCGTGTAGTAAAAAAAGGGAGATATTGATGATATTAATAAAAAGAACTGTGTGATCTTCAAGTACCATTTTTTCACCGTACTCTTAGCGACCGTTAAAAACGAACACAATTATAGTTTATCTATAAAAACAAATCAGAGGAATTAGCTGCTAATCGTGTATGTGTATATGTATGTATATCTGTATTATCTATCGAATTTTAAACGTTAATATTCGGATGCCGCATGCATCTATTTCTATCGTGCGATTAATAATAACGATTTCGAAAGTGAAAAGTACGAAAATTAAAGAAAATCCATAACACAAAGAAAAATACCAAAACAGCACTCGTATACAGTTTATTATTCTGAGAGGTTATTTACTTTTTTCGAGTCCTTGTATAATTATTACATCGTCGTCTATTGTACTTGTAGTCATGTGTACCATTGTTTTTTATATATGATTCTGTACATATGCGTTTAAAATATTAGACACGCGCAAATAGCTATTACGGAGTTGCGCCCGAATTTAAAACAAAAAAAAGAAAAGAAACGAAAAAAAGATGAATGATATGAAGAGAAAAACAATATATAACTGTTTATCTGAGAAAATAACAAAAGTAAATCGATTGAGAGCTAGGCACAAATATGAGAAAATTATTTCTTTAAACGATTTAAAACTGTTATACAAAATGAATGGGCCTTAACCCTTTAACATGAAAACGGCCGGAGCTGGGTCAATTCTATTTTCATGAAAATTACTTTCTTTTATTATATATATTAAATATATAAAACAATTTTAACAGTTATTATATTCATTTCTACTTATCATTATTTTTTATTATCGCTTTTATTAAATAAAATAAATAAATATCTTTCCTGTTTTTTTTCATATTTTTCAAGATTATTACAATAAAAATTAATCATATAAGAGAAGAAAATAACGCAAAATAATGAAAATTACAAAATCAAATATACTTCACAACATATCATTTTTCTTTAAAATATCAAATTCTATACTATTTATCTTTTTTATCATTCTTTACCTTATTATTATAAAATAATCATTGGAAATGATCCAGCAACCGCCCAATAAGGGTTATTATGTATGTAATGTACCTGAGTCGCGGTAACAATAAATTTGCCGAAAAAAATTTGATACGCGATAGCCATCATTAATGAAAATAATTGTAAGATATCTTAATAATAATCATTTTTCGGCAATTCGTTGGAACATGTGCTTATTTTTCGCCAAAAAATGACTGAAAGTTAAGGTATGCTCGTGCCCTTTCATTTAGTATACCGTGCGCGCATATTTTTTAAAAAGTCTTATGGAACTGATGGTTATTCGTTAACTACAAAACTCACGAACCATTGTTCGGCAATCATTGACGCTGTGCAAACGGACTAAGTGTTATTTACTAAGTCTTTTTTCTCTTTTTTTAAAATCCTCCGTTTATTTTTGTTTTTACTTTTATTATTATTATTATTATTATTATTTTATTATTATTATTATTTTATCATCATTGTCGTCGTCGTCATCATCATCATTATCATCATCATCATCATCATCATCATCATCATCATCATCATCATCATCATCA